TGGTGACTTTTGTAAACAGTCTTTTTCTACCTCCTATTTACAAATTTGAAACATTGTTGGAGATTGCCATCACTGTGTGGAAAAAAACATTTTTCATACTTCCTGTTTTTTCTCTGCTGTCCTCTTAAATCAGGAACATTCAGTTTCGCTGCAGGTGAGTGTTGCCCCCTTGTGTTTAGAAGAAGCTAGTGCCACTGCCACCCAGTAAACTATAGAACAACTTGACACATGAACAACAACTTCATGTGTCGTTAAGCTTGTCAGATCCTTGTGGTTTAGATCTTGCTTTGCTCTTTGAAGCACGGGTTTGGGTTTGTTCCTTTCTTGTCGCACTGAATATAAGTGTCTGTCAGTAACATTGTTCTCATGTGTTGTTCTGCATCCTGATAAGGAGACCCCTTTGGTCTTAGTGGTAAGTGGATTTCCCAGTGCCTCCCATCCATCCTTCTGTGCCTTCATATGTTTGTTCCCTCGGCGTGATAGTGACAGTTATGTGATAGTGATACATAACACTGTAATTAACAGGCCCATAATTGTCGTCTTTAATAATCCCCTCATTCATGGTCATTCATTTCTAGTCTGCATGACTGGCATTGTTCATGAGACATCTTGCATTAGTGAAATCAACTTTTCACTCCTCAAATCATATTGACTAAGTAGTGGTTTGAAGTGTGTGTGTGTGTGTGTGTGTGTGTGTGTGTGTGTGTGTGTGTGTGTGTGTCTGTGTGTGTGTGTGTGTGTGTGTGTGTGTGTGTGTGTGTGTGTTGATTAAAAGCATACTATAACCTCATTGAGGTTTTGCATAGAGGCATATTGTTTGTGTGATCACATGTGCTACTTCAGAGAGTTGGTGCATAATAGCATATATATTTTAGAGTTTCTGATCGTAGTTGTTGCCTTCTCCTTTTTGAGTATCTGCTTTTCAACACACAGCACACTGAAACAGGTCATCCTGTTCCCAAAAAGTCCTGATTGTTGAAGGTGGATGGATTTTTTTTAGCATGAGCAATACTTTTCTTTGTCCTCTTACTCTCTGGTCCTCTTGTACCGCTCTATGAAGTTAAAGTTGTGCATTTCAGTGAATTAGGTTGTACTAACTTAATTACCCAGCTCTTGGTCTCCAGGAAGTAGGGGGATAGACTATTTAACAACTCTTATTTAGGGAACATCTAGATGGTCATAGAGGTGAAAACAACACTTATTTCTTCATAGGCTTGGTATTAGAAGGATAAAATGATTCACATCGATTGTGTGTGGGGTTTGATGTTCTTATGTTTGGCAAATAGGTCAAGCACAGCTGTATAAGCATGCTTGCATTTTTCCTGTAAATGCATGTATTTTCCACCTGTCTCTGTCTCCCTGGTAATCCTACTACTTGGCATCAACCTGCTTGATTTATTTGCCAAACATCTATTAGTCAAACTGTTGTTTAGCCACACTGCTGAGTTTGGCTCCGTTTCCCGGTGAGGTTTCCACACCCCTCCACATCAACTCCTATTACTGTAGGTTATACAGCACGTAACTACCTTTTTTTTTGTTCATCCCCCTCCTCCCTCCTCCTCCTCCTCCCTCCCCCTCAGGAGGATGACGATGGGCCTCTTGGAGCCCCGGAGTATGATACCATCTCTGAAAATGGTCTCTTGAGCCGCAACGAACCAATACGCAGCAAGGTGTCCAAACTGACGGAGAAACTGCGCAAACGCTACCCCACCACCAGCACAGGTCAGTCTGCTCTGACTCATCCACTGATTTCATTCCTCCTATTACACTTGAGGGATGAAAGAGGAATCTTTCTCTTAGTCTCATATCTTAGCTCCGAACAGATAAATTTTATTTCATATTTCATGATGCTTCGTTTTCATTACAGTACTTATCATTATGTCTTTCTCTGTCTCCAAAGGCAACTGTTCTAGCTGCAATGCTGTCTTCTCAGTGCTGAAGAAAAGGGTGAGACTGAAAACTTGTGACAAGAGTCTGAGATATATTTAGGCATCACGTCATCATCACATTTAATTTTGTCTTACTTTTCTGTTGGCGTGAGCTTCAACACAATGTCTCTTCTTATTGCAGAGGAACTGCAGTAACTGTGGCAACAGCTTCTGTTCTCGATGCTGTTCCTTTAAGGTGCTGAGATCTTGCATGGGGGCAACAGGTAAGGAGGGAAAAATATTGGATCATTCTAACATTTTATTATTCTACAGATTGATCAAAATGTGTTTGATAGCTGCATCATGTCACATTATTACACCTCTGTTCCTCTCACTCATCTATTCTCTGACTGATGATCTAATTCTTTTATTATTGTTTCTTCTTCAGCTCCAGAGGCCCAGAGAGAGACCGTGTTTGTTTGTGCTGCCTGTAATTCTCTTCTCATCAAGTTACAGTGAAGATGGCATGTCGGTTTTGTCTCCCGGTGGCCAGTGGGAGGTCACTCACTGTTTGCCCCCAAGCCCTTCACCAAGTTACTGAAACCCTCACACATGCCTTGGTTTTCATGTTAAGGCACTTAATATCTGTCAAGATACCTCCTGTGTTGAACTCCAAGACCCTGCCATGCCTTTTCCTGCTGCATCCCTCCTTAGCTACTGTGATATGTTACATATTTCCTGTTTGAACTCTCAGTGAAGAACTGGACATTATGAATCAATGAGACTTAATACAGATTATAATGGCTCCAAAATCAAAAGATCTTGTTTTTTTCCCTTGCTGAGCAGAGGGAAGTAAAAAGCATACACAGTGGAGGTCAGGATGCTGGTGCTGACGGGTGATGCAAATAATCCTATTGGATGTCAGTGGTTTTGCTTTTACATGCTTTGCCTCCACCTGAATGTTGATACCTTCAGCCCTGTGTAGCAGTTTAACTGTGCTGTAATGCTGAGAGGACTTTTCTGTACGATCAAGACTAAGGCAGTGTTCATGCAAAACAGAATGTGAATGGCTGTATGACAAAAGAGGCTCTGCGTTTAGACTTGATTGCTGCAGCGTGTGGAGGCTTACCATCTAAATTTTTTTCACACAGATTTGTTCATTGTCCTCCAATACACTTTGACCTGTAGGTGGTCAACAATGTCATGTGATCAGTTCTCAGTTTGTCCAACTTTTCAAGGCCAGTGATTTTGGTGTACTTCATGTTTCATTGATTACATCTGCCTCCACTGCAACCTGCATTACTGTATACTACCCATGTGGGTATTCATGTTATTTACCAGACCTAAAATCCAGAAGCAAACTGATGATAATTCTATGGGATAAAACTGAAAATGCATGGCCTGCGATGAATCCCATCACATTTCTGCCAAACTGCTGGTGATGGTGTACTGGAGGGCTGTGAAGTTTGACAAACCAGCCTGTTCTGCTTTGAGGGATCAAACTGGTGCTTCATTCTGGTTGAAGTTTTTTTTTCCTGTGTGGACATGTCAAACCGGCTTTTTTTGGAGTACTTCAACAGCCTAAAAGACTAGATTTCCCTGCAGCCCAAGCTTTTCCGTTAATCGGATCAAAGTCAACCCAACTGGATTAAATTCATTTGAACAGACTGAGAAACCACCTGAAACTGTCATCAGAGTCTCACACCCTTGCAAGCAGGACTTAAAAGAATTAATGTGGAGGCATTATAGCCCAAAAGGTGGCTCTTGATGGCAAAGTTGTTTTAATCATGAATTGGACACGGATGATTGTAATTGTTTGCTTTGCTTTTATTGTAATCGTATAATAACTGTTAGTGTTAATTGTTCTACTATATCTAATATATTTAATTTAAAATCCAGAAGCTGCAAATGATTATTTGACCTAATGATGAAGTTTGTATATATTGCCCCTTATTTTATGGTTGAAACATGCCATCATTGAAATAAACTCTGATGATTTAATTAATTTAAAGTGACAACTGTTAAGTATGTTCTTCTTGAGCCTTTGCCTCTGAAGGATGGAAGCATTTAAAAACCATAATCAATTGAAATTATAGGCCACTAAATACCTTTACCTTTTTAAATTGCACAACTTCTGATTCAAATTATCCTCTGGAACATATTAACATATTTTATTACTATAAGCTATTTAGTATCAACATTAAGTTTTGGATAGTGATTAAATTTCACACAATAGGTATTGATTTTCCTATAAGACTAAAATCCTTAAAGCTGCTCTTATGAATATTTTTATATTTACAGTGGATCGAATGAGTATGTGTAATGTGAAAGGTGTTGCTTGTAGCCACTACAGTATATCTGTGGTTCCCCTCAGCTCTGTGGTGTGTTAATCTTCCAGCTCATTTTTTGGTTTTGTCTCGTAGCTCTAATCAGCATTGCTTCCAGATGCAGCAGCTTTTTCTGCCAAGAAACAGCTCTGATAAACCAAATGTACCCTGCTCAGCACCAAACAGCAGACACAATTAGCAACTAGCTGGTGAGAAGGGCATTTAGCAGCTAAAGGGCCAGATATGGAGTTGGTGAAGACAAAAAAAACGGACCTAAAAGGTCAATGAATATTGTACTTACTTTCACCAGGTGGCCAGAAGTATGACTCCAAATGATTGTTACTGTTGTCCTGTAACTTGTGCATGTGTAAACAGTAAACTGTTTGCTAACAGGTTTGGTGATAATAGGTCAGTTTAAGGCCTTTCTTTGCTCCCACACAGCAGGTCTTTTCACAGAAAACATGTTTTAATGTGACAGTAGGAAAAGCATGAGCAAAATGATCAAATTAACGATAGCTGAATTATATTTAGCTGCTTTGGTTTCATGCTCCAGGATTTTGGGCATGTTGGCTCGCTGTCACATTGTCATGCTTTATAGGGACACTTGAATACAACAGAGCCATTGTTAATGTTATTCATAAGACCTTTTATTACGAGTTAAAAAATATTAATATAGTCCAAACTCATGTGAGACCGGAGAAAAGCAGAATTAATGTGATGACCTAAACCTGTACTTGTGTTAGCCCCGCCCCTCCCTTCTCCTCCTCCCCCCTCCCCGCCCTTCCCCCTCCGCTCCTCCAATCCGTCCCTGTGTCCCAGTAAAGCAATTTCAGCGCATGCAGGGACTCGTCCCTACGGCCACGGATGGCAACATGGCGACAGAGGTAAGACTGGCGATATTATCGGTTTAATATCCTGCTCAGGTCTCGACCACCACCACAAACAACTGTATTGTGTATTCATTTGAATAAAACGGGCGCGGGTGCAGTTAACATGGCCAGAGAGGGCATTCAGGCTGCGCACGGTTAAACTGTGAATCAGTTGCGGCTCACTTGAATCAGGATTGACGACCGTGTCCTACATTATTATGCCAGTTTCGTCCGAGGGTTAGTCGCTTTTCTGTTTCTCTTTTTTTGTAAGCGTTCTGGCATTTTAAAGAAAAAAAAAAAACATTATCGGGAAATTTGAAAGTCAACTGCGCTTCATGGAAACAGAAATGTGGCAGAAACAGCGGATCACCGTGTGGTCCTCTCCTCGCGATGTTAAGCTGTTTTGGTGAAAGCAGATCTGTTTTTGTCTGTTCAGACGCCCCGTTAATCCGGTGACAGGCCACTGTGTTGACCAGTGACCACACACACACACACACACACACACACACACACACACACACACACACACACACAAACACATAGACACACACACACACAAGGAGGAACAGCGTTCAGCACCATGGACAGAAGCCACGCCGCCCCGACCTCACTCACCGCTCCTCTAGCCTCTTTCGCCTCCGTGCTGTTGTAAATGCTGAAATTACGAGAGTTGTGAAAGAGAAAAAAAATGTGGATGTCTTTTTATCAGTCTGCCTCATCTTGTTCCACCTGATCGATCTGTTGTGAGCTGTAGTGAAATGTTCCGTCTCCTGCAAGCTATGCTTCCCTGTTAGACTAGAGAGAAAAAGAGGGAGAGAATGAAAGTGTGTGTGTGTAGAAGATAGTATGTCCAATGCTGGGCTGCGCTCCAACAGACAACAAGGCAGAAATGAGTGCAGACACTGAGCCACAGAGTGATTGATCACATCTTGTCTACATCTCCTCTATCATGCTACACTTCCAAATCAGCCTCTGTTTGTACACATTGCCAGTGAAGAGGTGCACAGAGGGGTGTAGCTCTGTCTATCTCTGGGGACTCATTAAAGAGATACTGTATTAACCCTTACCGTCCTGTATTTTGCTTGTGCGTGTGTGTGCGTGTGTTTGTGCGTGTGCGTGTGTGTGTGTGATCTGACCTCCTCAGTTCCACAACCTGCAGGAGTTGAGGCACAGTGCATCTCTGGCCAACAAAGTCTTCATCCAGAGAGACTACAGTGAGGGAACCACCTGCAAGTTTCAGACCAAGTTCCCCTCTGAGCTGGAGAGCAGGGTGAGGAGACAGAAGCCTGTGACTCAGGCGTTTAGCTGATTAACAAAATTAATCTGTAACTGCAAATAAATAATAGATAGATCTAGATAAATGATTAATCATCTACGTTTATTTTTCAAAATATGTTATATGAATATGTTGGTTAGAGAGAGAGAACTTTCAGTGGGCATGTTTTACTATTTCTGGGTATTTAATAGACCAAACAAATAATTAAACCATTGAGGGAATAATTGCCAGATTGTTATTGGCCGCCTCAATTCACAGCTATGGTTGCAATGTCATTTAAAATAAAGAAATAAAAAAAAAATACAGACAAAATGATGATGGGGTGAATTACCCCTTCTTTTTTCCATGCTTTACCCATTTTATCACTGTACAGAATTCCTTTACTCATGACTCTGTCCTGCATTCGTCTCCAGATTGAGCGGACACTGTTTGAAGACACTGTGAAGACTCTGAATAACTACTATGCAGAGGCAGAAAAGATTGGAGGACAGTCCTACCTGGAGGGCTGTCTGGCCTGCGCTACAGCATATCTCATCTTCCTCTGCATGGAGACACGTTACGAGAAGGTCAGACTGGCGAGCTCAAAGTTGATGCATTTTAATGTTATCAGGGGAAGTGATGAACATCAACATGTGTTTCATTTTTCTTGTTCTGTGTGTCAGGTGTTGAAGAAGATAGCCAAGTACATTCAGGAGCAGAATGAGAAGATCTATGCTCCCAGGGGTCTGCTCATCACAGACCCCATAGAGAGGGGAATGCGGGTCGTATCCTTGCTCAGTGTTTGAGGTGTATGACCTTTGTTTTCTGTTTAATGAACCATACTCCGTAGTGAAGTATTGGTCCCTAACTACTTTCACCAGATAGAGATTTCCATCTATGAAGACCGGGGCTCCAGTGGCTCCAGCTCAGGGAGCAGCTCTGTGTCCGGCAGCACTGCTCGATGACTGGGTACTTCCTGATCACCATGTCCCCCTGATCACTCACAGCCCCGGAGGAGAAGTTAGGACAATGATACCACTCCTGTTCCAATACTTAGCACACACATCCCTCACCTATGCTCACACAAAGGATTTTCTAGCTTTGTTTTTTTTTTTTTTTTTTTTGTCATCACATGCTTAAATTGTTAAAGCTTTTTTCACAGTGAACGCTTCAAACACGCACTTTAGTAGTTTCCTGCAAAGCAATGTGCATGCACACTGACACAGTCATGTTTGGAAGCAATGTCTAAATGAAAAGAAAAAAAAAATCTAGCTGGTAATACTTTGTGTGATCGCATCATTACCTTCCTTCCTGTGTTGTCTGGTGGGTGACAAAAAAGGATGGAAGGAAGTGAGAAAAAAATGGAGGAGGTGTTGTGACAGGAGTGAAGACCACAAGCCTCACCAAACCTCATACCTCAGCCACCACAGCTGCACCATGTAGTCCGGATCAGCCCCAGCTGCACCCTGACCCCACCGGACCAACTAGGAAACTGGACACATCACCATTAACCCTGCACACCGGACAACAGCTTGTAAAGATGTTATCTGTGGCTCAACTGAGTTTCCAGATTTTAGCAAATGTAAAAAGTATGTACAAGTGTTTGAGCAGGGCACCACAAAGTTTCACCTTCCCAGAGCGCAGATTAACTGTACGAAGAAGCTCTTCCTCCATCACCTCTGCTGTAAATCATGCTGTCTGGTAGCAGATGAATGTCATTCAGCCCGTCCATGTCTATAATGTAGCAGATCTTCCATATCTCTCACATGAAGCTAATTAGACACACAAACACGGACACGTGCACAAACCTAAGTACTAACCTCTTGGTTTCAAGTAGAGAGACCAACTTTTCCTAAATTTTGATTATGCAAAGACATACTGTGCATTGAATGCAACAGTAAGTAGACTGAGGATGGGTCAAAAAGTCTTCCTGAATCTTACCTGTAGTGTTTTAAAATACACCAACCCTTCCTTGATTCCTGAACAAACTTCCAAAGAACAATAACTGCCAAAAACTGGCTCAAAAATGTGAATGTGTCTTTTATTTTGGTGACATTGTGTGCAAGAACAAACTTTCGTACTGCTTGTTGTTTGATACACATGGCAATGAGGTATATATGACTGGTGTCAAATAAATACTGTTTCATCACAGCTGCACAGAGCTGATCTTTCTTTATTACACTGTAAATATACAAAATAGACCAATGGCAGACAATCTGTCACAGCAGGAAAAGGGTTAGTGTGCCAGTAGCAGGGCTTCAGTATTAAAGTTGGGCTAAACAACGTGCTTTTATCAATAATGAACTTATAATGAACAATAATGGACTTACATTCATCAGATGGACAGAAACACAACTCCAAATGAATCAGTTAGTGCAGCTTTGAAGCCAGTAATGTTATGACTGTTAAAATGTCTGCTGTGACAATGGTCTTTCCCTTTCTCTTTTATTAGGCCATTGGCTATGGACACATTTTCCAATCACCACGTGAACTTAAAGCAAGTTATTTACTGGCAAATGGGTCCGAGGATATTTGACATTCTGACACGTGTAAATAAAATTAATGACGGTTGATGGTAGGTTCCATTTGACTTCAGTTTCAGTGTCGTGATGTTGTGCATGCTGGCTCACCGTCTCGCTCTCATGTCTTACTGAGACACTTTAACAACAGAACCAATCGCTTATGTTATTAGCAACAAAAACGACCAATAGAACGTAATGATAACGACAACTCAAACACACTGCATGCACTACAAACAGAAAATGTTACTAATTTGATGTTATGACAAGCTTTGGTCAGGCAAATTCCCTCATGTTTGTATGCATGCTCGACTGGTTATACGACACTTCAGCACTTTCAGCTGGCTAAAGGACATGATACTGATCCCAGTTTTCCAGCCTTCACTTACATGCAGGGACTACAGCATGCACCCAGTCCACCAGAACAAACAGGACTTGTCCAGACTGCAGGACGTCCAGATACTAGGATATGATCGAATAGTGTATGCAGATGGACTGTTAATGCGTGTCACAGGAAGTAAAGCTTTTAGCAGATGTTTGATCCAGACAAGCAGTGATGGATAAAGGCTTTCTTACTGCGTCATTGTTACCCTGTAGACTACCGACCCCTGAGATCTGCCAGTGAGGACAGCACCAAGACACACTGTAGTAAAACTGTCCTTAAACAGGAGGCTTCAAACGTGGAGACAGACGTGGAGTGGACGCCATTGCACAATGGTGGGCAAGGCTGCATGGGTGAAGGGACAGAATAGGGGAGAACAAGAAAAAAGGTGGAGGAAAAGAAGGAAGGGCAGACATGAGGTTAAGACAACACAGTAGAAATGGTTGACATTGAAGGACATGGCAGTCACATGGAGTGTGAGATGAGAGAAAGAGATGTATGTTTGCACAGAAGAATGAAGTAAGTCATTATCTTTCCTTTCTATTCAGAATTCAGGTCTTGCTCTGTTTCAGCTGGCAAACCGAGCACGTCTCAGAACAAGCAGTCAGCAATTGCTTTGTCGTTTGTCAGAAAAAGTAAATACTGTCGAGGTTGTATGCAAGACTAAAGGAGGAGTGTCTCAAAGCACTGATGGTGGATATTACTTTTTTTTTTTTTTTACACCTGAAATGATAATCTGACTCACCCAGAATATTGATTTGTAGCAGTTTATTTAGAGAGCTTTCCATGGCTCATAAAAATAAAAAACCATAAAATAGCAGTAGCAATAAAAAATGAATAAGAGAAAAATAAGAAACACAAAAATATTAAAACTATGCACATAGTAAAGAGAACAACAGGGCCCCTGTCTTAATGCACGGGCAAAAAAAATAAAAATTTCAAACATGATCTCTGCAACATTTCTATTGCATTTCATGTGATTATCCTCGAGGACCTGTAAAAACATAAACATCGAAGAAAATTAAAAACAAAACAAATGAATATATGATTTCATTTACCAACAACTCATTTGATAATTTGGTTACCTGCACAGCGGCCATTCTGACAATAAAGCCTTTACCTCACTGAAAATCAGAGGGAAAAAAAAATCAAAAATTAAAGACGAACAAAGGAGTAAAAAATCAGCAGTCTTTAGTACAGTGCTGTCTTCTGCTAATTAATATTTTGTTGTAATATTGCATCTAATTGAACTGAAATTGAAAGTGAGAGGAAATGACAAGAGGATGATTAATAAGGCTGCCTGGGAGTTTAACTGTGTTCATAGTTCACACTGTGAAGCTGTACTGCATACCTGCATGTCACTGGCAGACATTTCCCCTTCACTGGGATAGGCCACTTCCACCACTGAGTTCATTTCACCATGCTGAATGGTTCGAGTGATAGACCTGCCGTCCGGCCAGGAGACCTCCAGTAACTTCACCTCATCACTTCCTGCGAGTCACGGGTAAAAACAAAAAACTGAGCATCACATGAATTTACACCTTTTGATATTGGGTTTATTATGTGCAATAAAAAAAACTTGAGATGTGTGTCCCATCCTCTCGTTGTCTTTAAAGTATAACATGTAGAGGTAGTTACCTAAACCAAAGTGGGCGACAGGCTCCATCTCACACAGGTACCCAGAGCCTCCGTCAATGATGCGTGTGTAACCTACACCCTGATTGGTGAAGGCTGTTACCTTGGCGCCCCGGGCAAAAGAGCCAAACTGGGTGCGAGGGATGACCCGCAGCCACTTATTGGACGAGCCCTGACAACAAGGATGACAAGTTAGGTTGTGGAGCCAGAGCCCACACACACTTGCACGCACGCACGCACGCACGCACAGATACACGCACATACACACACACACCTGTGTGACTTTGAAGACAGAGATTGGTTGCTGGGCGCTCTCTCCATGTGCCAGCAGCAGGTCCAGCTGTCCGTCCCCATCCACGTCTGTCACAGTGCCACCTGTCCAAAACAGACAGAGAGCTTTCACTGCTCTGACCTACATAAGCGCTTCACTGTGGCGTTTCTCCGACAGCTGTGTCTCTGCAAATCTCATCCAAGGAGAGAGGAAGCAGAGAAATCACATGTTCCCTTCAGGTCGAAGCAGTTGTAGAATAAATTTGATAAAAATGTGTTGTCCAGTGTCCTGTGCTCTGAGTTTAGAGCTGGCTGACCTGTTCCTCTCCCCTGTGGCTCTGCAGCATCTCCCACATTAAGCTCGTGGATCAATGGGTCCGCCCCAGCTCTATTTGACACCCTGCAAACAAACACATAAGATTATACAAATAGCTAGTAATTTAAACATTAATCCAGGATGTGTGTTACTGCCAAGCACTTCTCAACCCTCATTAAACTTGGCTCCACATAATAATTAAAATCTTACTTGAACAGCTTGTTAGGGGCGTTGCCTCTGTAGGCAATATTGTTGAAAAACACCTCCAGTTCCTTGTCATTATCAAAGTCAGCAGCAATGACTGTGCGAACAGGGGAAGGGGTGGCAAATCCTCTAGTAGCTATGTCCTGCACAAGAGAACACATAACTTTTTAAATCAGCTGATAAAGCATTAGCATTTTACAGACTTTTATATGATATTCTTTTTTCCACTGTCTTGTTCTCCTTTACCTGAAATTTAGAGTCGCTGCCCTGCAGGTAAAGTCTGTGTGGGCCGTTCCAGTTGCCATAGACGATGTCTGTCTTCCCATCGCCATTAAAGTCAGCTAGTGCCACTCCTCTGCCGTGCTGGGATCGGTCCTCCACACCTGTGGATATGGACACAGTGTTAAAAGCTGTAGTGCTGCCAGTGCTGGAAAAAACAATACACTGTATTTGTATATGAATTCTTTTTTAAATGAGATTTTATGTCTTTGGTGACATCTAGTGGTGGTATTAAAGAAGACACTGTGGCAGATAACAATGCACACTGATTCCCCTTTATCAGTTTACATTTCCAGTGAAATAACCACAATATTTCAATAACATGCTCTTCTCATTTACGCAAAAGGAATAGTACAGCATTTTGCGTGTTTTAATTTGTTGCTGAGAGTTAGATGAAAAGACTGATACCACCCTCTTATGTGGCCATTAAATTTAAAGCCAATAATCCTATTTTCTAAAATGTAGAACTATTCCTTTCAAGAAAAAAATATAATGTAAAAGTTGCAAAACATCAGATTACTTTAAAAAAAACTCACAGATTCTGGAGTTAATAACAAGTATTTCTACTCCTAACATATGTGCTTTCATGTTCTTCCCTTCCTGTGCCATACTCACCTGCCTGTCTGGCCATATCAACAAAAGTCCCATCTCCATTATTCTTAAACAAGAAGTTGGGTCCGTTCTCGTTGTCACAGAAAATGTCAGACCTGGCCTTGTTCAGGATCGGTCCAACCACCACACCGCGACCACCTGCACAACAAGCACGTTGTAAAAGCCAACCTCAAACCATCACACGCTGAATTTCTCCAGCCTAACTCCTCCTGACCCGTGAGCTTGTTGACCCCAGCCGCAGCTGCCACGTCAGACAGGGCGATGATGCCCCTGCTGACATCACTGGCAGCTTCGTCCATCTCTAAGAGAGCGTGAGGGCCGGTGTTGCCGCTGGCGTAGTTGGCCACGTAGACTGAGTAACGGCCTGTTCCCTGTGGGGCAACAACAGCCATGAGAAGTGAGAGGAAGTAAACAGCAGGGAAATGAAGAATCACAGGGGGTAAAATATGAAGAATGAAATCATGTGACTTCATGAATAGGTTAAGTGGGTCTACTGACCTTTCTGTCAATACATGCCACAGAACGTCCTGCCATGCGATTAGCAACGCCACGACGCACATTGAGCTCGTCACTCAGAAGATCCTCGAAGCGGCCATTACGAAACTTGAAGAGCTTGTCTGAATACGTTGCTCGTCCTTCATAAAAAAAAAAAGAGAAGCTAGTTATCATGTGGAAAAATCATTCATATACCTGAAATTACTTGCTGGAGCCATATAATTTGTATAAGTGAGGAAGTGAGGATTGATCTTGACAGTGCACTATTTACCAGAGTAGGCATTGTTTGTGTTGAGGAAGTAGATCTCCTCACGTCCGTCTCCATCCACATCACATGCTGTAACTCCAATAGCGTTACCCGCTCTGTCCCTCAGGGCGTAGTATGGAGAGTTACTGTCATCAATAGCAATGTTTACCAGCCTATTTTGAGTGCGATCGTACTTCAGCACCAAGTTGGGCCCATTGTACCTGAGGGAGAACATCGTATAGATTTGTTTTGCACACACATACTTGCATAAGAATTTCTACAGAAGGTAACAAACTTATAGCTGTATAATATCACGCCATCAGCCCCTCACCCTGCCACCACCACTTCTAGATCGCCGTCACCATCCACGTCTGTTACAGCCATCCCATAGTTGAGCTGTGTGGGATTGTGCAGATTGTCAGGAGGAAGCATAGTCTGTGTGACAACCTGGAACATGGGCTGAGAGGTCTGGGCGTGAGGCTGATGCCAGAGTCCGACCAACAGGAGGAGCAGCAGACGTGAGCCCCACATCACTGAAAACTAATGGGACACAGAGCAGGGCTGTGGGTAATGGGTTTCAATTTAAGATGCACAAGTCTTTTGTATGAACAAATTTAATATCAAAGTTCAGGCTCCACATTAGGTAATTTATATTCACACAAGACTGCCAATATTACACATATATTTTACACATCTTTAACCTTTCTTTAGCTGAAGTGCTTCATGAATTTTATCTTTTCTATTTAAATAGAACAATAGAAAATGAGAATTACAGGTAAACAGCAGAAAACATATGGCGGGGGGGGGGGTTACAAAGGGCCTCAGTTACGTGAAAGGAACCAAGAGGATGTTTAAAGTGTGCAAAAATGAAATACACAGAAGCAGTTACAGTCAGTGGAAAGCCACAGTAAATGATCATTTTAAGTAGGTTTTCTCTCCAGATCTACCATTGAACACCAATTTAGTTTCAAGTTCAGCAAAATCAGTCCTACATTTGAATTGATTAACAAAATTGATGATTATAAAAAATAACGCACCATTACTAAAGACATTTTCATTACTATTAAAAATCATGCACATTGCAATGAGATCTCTATTAACTAATCAATGCATGAAGCGTATTCCTCATCTCTGTCTGGTCCTGGGCAGACTCGCAAACAGGAATTTCATTTCTTCAGTATTTAAATACCGTCTTACCTGACAAGCTCTGTCCGTGTATAAAGATGGAAATGATCTGATTTTGCTGCAGTGATGTGAATGAAGTCAGCGCTGATATGAAATTATTTGTCAAAGATCCTCCACCTTATACAACTTCTGCTGTTAACATTTACGAAATAGCTTGTGTAACGTGCACAAGATTGACCAATCAGCAAAGAGCCATCTAAATATTTAGAGCGAAGGCCAATGGCTGAGCTGTGCTTCCGTGAGCCTGTACGTGAGAAGCGGATGTTTGCTGTGTTTGTAGTCGCTGCTATTATAACACATTACAGCAATAGCACAGAAATAACACAGTGATAATTAGTGGCGAGGTAAAAACCCTCAGCTGTGAGGTTAATATATATTCTGGTGAAAAACAAATGTTTTGCAATCACACAAACAGGCTCGTCGTGCAGAGTGGCTCAGCCGCAGCACAACACAGGAACACCATCTCCCAGAATGCTGTGGGTTGTCCTACGCCTGCGTCATTAGTGCGACGAAATTCTGATGCTAAACAAACCAAACACGGGTAAGCTGAAAGAGCAACAACTACCTTATATAATTGTGATTAAAATAGTCTGTATGAAAACGAATTGATAAAATTGCACTTAAATGCAAAGCGATATTAATTTTATATTTGCGTTTTCAATAAACAGTTATTATAGCCCCGGAGAGAGGAATTTTAGCTAGTTAGCTAAATCGGTTAGCTAACTGGAGCTAACTTAGATGTATTGTACTGGTGTAAATGCTACTTGTTTGATTTTTAGACTCTGCTCCAAAAGTGCGCAAGCTAGTTGAAGTTGTTTGGATATGAGATGATTAATGTAATTCGCTACCTCATCATTGTAATTCATTGTAATTCACAGTGTAATTTATTGTACCCTACATATGCACATCTCCACTTTACTTATGCACACCCTCACTTTACATACCTGTACAGCACACACTTGCACTTTAACTGCTCTTTTGCACTTCTGGTTAGATACTAACTGCATTTCGTTGTCTTAGTACGTGTACTCTGTGCAATGACAATAAAGTTGAATCTAATCTAATCTAATCTAATCTAATCTAATTCTGTCGTTAAAACTATTCAGGATTCGTTTAGAAATCTGTTAACATTTAATGAAGACTGAATGCATGATATAACGTTTTTTTTTTATTGCATTGCCTCTTCTGTTTCCCCTTCTCCATGATGCAGATGTTTTGATAACATCTTTTAATAATGGAGTTGGAACAGACGAAAGAAGACAGTGCTCCAACCCAGCCAACACCCACACCTCCCTCTCAGTCAAAGAGGCCAAGTCAGGCTCTGTACGTTCCCAAACAACGACTTCATGCCTCCAAAGACAAAGCTCAGACTCAGGGAGAAGTTAAGCCGAGACCCAGGCCTCGCTACACAGACAAGGCACGAAAGAACGCTAAGAACAAGAAGGACAAGGCTGGAGGGGAAGATAATGCGGGACCTGTTGGAGGAGAAGGTGGAGGTCAGATACAGAACAGTGACACTAAGCCTGATGTAAAGAAGGAAGGGAGGCTACAGGATACAGATGTGCAGGTTAACGGGCAGCCTGAGTCGACCAGTGTGGAGACAGATGTTACCTCAGGGCTGGAAGCAACATCCCCTCAGGAGGAAAATGGGGAAGAGGAGAGCTGGGACACTTTGTTCAACGATGATGGAGATTGTTTGGATCCGCACCTGCTTGAAGAGGTGAGAGCTTGGTGTACGGCTGGTCCGTACAGAAAACAAGACTCGATAACCAGGAGAACATATACACATTGTACACCTAGCTAAAGCATAAAAGCAGAGACATATAATTCAAAATTAATTGCCTGTATCCCTTTCCTTCTCTTGTCATTCATCCCACCCTCAGCTGGCTTTGAAAGAAGGTAGAAAGAAGGAGTCAGTCCAGGAGCCCAGGTTCGATTACTACAACATGAACCGAGATGATGATGGCGACGAAGACGACGACATCGATCTCAGAGAGGATGAACTCTCACACATTGTAGAGATCTATGACTTTCCTACGGAGTTCAAGTCAGAGGACCTTCTCAAGTTATTTCAGTGCTACCAGTACGTATAGTTCAGTGTACAAAAGCCAACTCTCAAATATTTAAGTAAATTACAACATAGTCTCTATTCATCAGTATGCAGTATTGAGGTTTTTTTTATCCTCACTGCATTTTAAGATTAACATTGGTACCTTTTATAAAACTACGGTGGATGTAGCATAATTTTTTGTAATTAATGTTTTCTCTGTGAGAGTATGACTTAACAGAAATGAGAGTAAAACTCTGGTCAAGTGTATGACTTTGACATCTCAGGGAGTGTGGGATCTCTGATATGTGTATTGCATCTGAGATCCACAATTTTCAGAAGAATCTGTCTTATCTACGTTTGGTTTACATAATGTTTTCTTGACTGTTTTTGTGTGACTTCTGACTGTGATTTCAGACAAAGAGGCTTTGACATTAAATGGATTGATGACACACACGCTCTGGGCCTCTTCTCAAGCCCCATAGCAGGTTAGTTAAGTGCTACTTCACATAAACAGTAGTTTAGGGGGAGAATACTTTACAATACATTATCCTCTAATGTAATTATTTTTGAGACACTTCCAACTTGTGCAACTTGTGTCTTATCTCTTTTCAGCCCGTGAAGCTTTAAGATCCAAACATCCACTGATGAAGTTGCGACCACTCTCCAAATCCTCCTCTGCCACAAAAGCCATAGCCCGTAGCTGCTCAGGTACAAATAATCCGTCTTCCCACTTGTTTGTTAGTTTGTTTTCTGTTCTCACACATTTAAAGACAAATATGATCTGTGTCCCTCTTCATTCTCCTTTCCGCCAATACCCAGACTACCTCCTGCCGGCTAAAGAGAGACCTCAGACGAGTGCAGCACTGGCTCGCAAGCTCGTGATTGGTGCCCTTGGTGTAAAGAGCAACCTGACGAAGGAGCAGCGCGAGGCAGAGAGGAGGAAACTCCAGGAGGCGAGAGGTGCATCGTACACAGAGACATTATTCTCACCTTATGATTGTGGTCTTATACATGGAGCCATAGTGTGACTAGCAGAACCTGTTCTGTCCCTTTGGAGCCTGAACTAGTCTGTTGTGTGTATATATATCTGTCTACTAGTAGTCACAAGTTGCTAAAGTTGTTGCTTAAGTAAATAATGGGCTTATTATGTGTCAAGCAGCGTGTCATTCAGGAAGAACATAGGTGCTCAGTCAAGCCAAGTGAAAAACACACAACAGGCCTCATCTGACTGTCCTAGTTTTTGCATCACAATGTTTCTACCACAAGTGGGAGCTCTTGTTACACATAACAGAAAAAAATTGAAAGTGTAGTTGCAAATTGATGCCAAGAGAAGTTGCTCTCTGTCCATTCCTGTGCAGATCATAACAGGTCTATAATCAGTACAGCAGCCATTTCCCTTCAGAGATGGAACATAAGTATACAGGCACAGAAAACCACAAATGGCCGTCCACTGAGCAGCCAGTCAGGAAGTCAGGGCCTTGAGTATAGCAAACTAAAAAAAGCTCCTTTGTTCTTAGCATGGGCGCACTGCTGTGCTCTTTATTTAAGATCACAACACGCACAGTAAATGTCAGTGCAGACGTGCATCATGTGCTGAACGTTGTGTCCTTGGAATGGATGCCACGTATGGCTGCCTCCAGAGATTAATTTACAGCTGCCTCTTCAATCTGCCTCAGCTTTTCTCTTCCCTGCATGTGGCAAAGATGGTGATATAAATTTAGAGCAACAAATTACCAAAGTGTTGTTTATTTAAGGGCTTTTGCTGATTGATATGTTGAACTAACTGTCTATGATTTATCTTTCAGAACAAAAGCGCCTGGCAGCCAAACAGAGGGAAGATGCTTGGGAGGGGAACTGACCAGACAGAAAACAACCCCCCCTTTGTCTGTAAGATTCCTTGATTCAGCAGAGGTTAGGGACTTCTCTGTTTCTTCTCCTGCTCTGTTTTTCTCAATTGGCCACTCCTTCCTACCACCACACTTCCCAGAAATGGATTCCCACCAAATTTTCCTTCCTCCTGCCACTGTCCCTTAGCCTGCAGTGTTACCTCAGATGAGAGCATCCTACCACTTCCCTCTCCTTTATATTCTTGCTTTCTTTGTTCAGGGATCAGTCTCTCATATGGACTTGTTTTCATATCTGTAACACTGTAACTGTAAGGTCTGTACTGAAGCACTGAGCCTAATCATTTGTAATTCATTGAAAGGATTATTTTCTGTATAGATCCAGACCATCAAGTTTGTCATTATATATATTTTAAAAAATGTTTTTAAAGATGACCCAAGTAAATCCGCCTGTAAACGTAAGGGCAGCAAGGTTTTCTGTTAAAGATCACGCCTCTCTTAAATTCAGTCATGACAATACAGTACTTTATTGTATATGAAGACATTGTTGAAATTTGATTATGTTTTAATGGTTTGAATTAAATGTTGTGTTATATGCAAAAAAATGCAGCATTGTTTACAATTTAAGGCCGCGGAACTTAATTAAACTTTGACCTTTCTTTTAAACCTTCATGTCAGGTCCATTTGCAGCATTTAAACTGTGTTGTGTCCCTCTCTGTACACATTTTCAATGGGGGGATTCATTTGTCCAAAGAGAACTAATGATGATGAGGATGATAATAAGTGTAATAATAGGTAATGTTTTTTTTTTAATCCATTTTGGGGACAAAAAATGTCAACAGGGATAATTCTCTCTGTCCTGGACACAGAAACCCGTCACCATCTTTCTAGCCAGATGGATTAAAGCAGGAAGCATCTGTAAGCCAGGGGGAAATAGGGTGAACACTGAGAACTTGGAGGAGTCTTCAGTAACAGTAGTGTAGAGCATCCCATTGTTGTATCCCGCAGTTGTCCATACCCCAAAGCAGAGCAGCAACAGTCTAGCATCGGGTATGTAGTTCTGACAAAGCAGTGAGACTCCCAGCTTACCCTTCAAATCCCTTCAAATCCCTTTCTAACTATATTTTCAATCATTCATCTAACAGCTTTTTATTTTTTAAGAGACACAGTGAAGATCGTCATTATTACAGTTTATGTAGCTAGTACATTTAAAAAACTAAATCCTGAAAAATTTGTAGTATGGGTTCTTAAAGTGGCTGCACAATCACTGATCCAGGGTCTGTAAACTTGAATAAAGCTGTTGAGCAGATATTGTATAACAGCTGTACACATTTGAATTTGTCTGTATTCATAAAAAACAATAAATTGGTGAATAAATTATTTAAAAAAAAAAAAAAGGTTGTATTTCCTCTCCTGTTTTGGTGATGTTTGCAGTTGAAGTATTGCATGAGCCAATGGTTGGGGAAATTCTCTGACACTTGGGTTTACCACAACTCTTTCAAACTGCCACAGACAAAAAAAATTGTGGTGGTCAGTCTCAACAGGCTGTTTTTCTTTATTCCTTGAAAGCTTAGATTTCTGACTTGTAAAAGCTTTTCACTAGACAGAAATAATGTCTATTTAATTTAACTTTTATCCTCAAATTCAGTTTCCTAATTCAGAGTCAACTTTCATAATTCACTACCAGCTTCCTCAGACACGTCCGGGCTGAGGAGACTTTTTTTTTGACAGCTGGAGGCCGCCTCCTCCTCTGAGGCTTTCACCCAGCTGACCACAGACCATGTGGCACTGTGTCTCCTTCACCTCCTCAGCCAATAATTAAGTCTCATTCTCCCAGCTAGGAGAAAGCTCTGAATATTTGTCAAGTGTTCACAGTTGGTGAACTTTGTATCAAAGATAAACGTAAGATTTGCCTATTAACGTTTGGCCTCATAAGCAGCTAGCTGTCAGTGGATATGTTGATACGTATGTTAATAACAGCTTGCTGTGTGCATACATGTTTGGAAAGGTGTTCATTCATATTAAAACATAATGTCCTACATCTGATCAGAGTACTTGTATAATATTTGCCTCTATCACCACTAAATATCCAAATCCAGGAGAGAACCCAGTTTGTAGAACTGCAGCTCAGTGGCTGAGGGCGACTGAGACACAGTGCCACGTGGCTCATCGTGGGCTAATTAAAGTGCTGCAGCCTCAGCGGAGGCACCGTTACATGTTCCGTTTTTGTGTTCATTTCTTTTTAGATTAGTGATTCAAAATGAGCACTGACAAATACAGTCTCTGCAGGTATCGCTGTCTTTGCAGAGAGTCCTTGTTTCCAGTGATGTTTTTGTGCAGTAGTATTGGTGGATTCAGCATGAGGTGTGATGAAAAGAAAGAAAGTTATTTTTTTGTCAGAAGTGAACTCAGCACATCATACAAACTTGATAAAAATGCATCTCAAAGCATGTGTTTTCATGTGTTTTTATTGTTTTGATCATTAAAAATCAAAAGCAGTATTATACTGTATGTTCTTGTGTTTTTGATGATGGTTGGTATATAAACTTTTAGTTTTCAGTTTTAGTATGATTTGTTATTTTGGTAGTGAAAGTGAATTCTGGATGGTCATGTGATTTAACTATTGTATTTAATATATGTATATGTATATATATTTACAAAATGATAATGCATTTAATAATTTTGTCTCAGTATCAGCTACACACTGATCAGCCACAACATTAAAACAGGTAACTGGTGTATTTTTTTGGCTTACTCAAAAGCTATCAAGCCATGGAGAATAACTGAAACTACTAAATAAGTCATATTACTGATGTTTCAGAATTAACTCTCAAAAACAGGACACAGATAAAACCAATTAACCATTATAACCAATTACCTGCTTTAATGTTGTGGCCGATCCGGGTATGTACTGTATTTGGTTATGCATTTTCTCTTACATCTCATCACCAAAATCTCTCTTCCATGACTGAAGAGCAAGCAACTAATATGTTGTATGTTGATTCGTTATTATTACAGCTTGTGATTTAAGCTCTGCCAGGCCTCTGCTAGTTTCAGTACACACATGACCTCTTTCATGACCTACTTACATGACATTTCAATGTGGAATAAAAGCAAATGTGGACAAATTTTCTTTGTTAATTTGCCAGAACAGAAGTGGACCTCCATGTGCAGGAGCCTGTAACTCTTCTTTACCATCATCGTGTGAGATCTGAGCCCTGCCTATAATCTCATGCTTTACTGTGGCTGCACAAGGAGGCGATGTACCGCAGAACAGCCTACTGGGTGCCTCACACACAATCATTAGATTAACTACACAAACACAAACCACTACTAAGCAAGTGGTGATTCTAAGTGCCAACTCTGCCCTATATGTGCTGCACAGAAGCGCTGTTATGTCATGGAGCAAATGAAATGTGAGCCATGGTCTAAATGAAGGAATAAACTAATGTTCCACCACAATAAAGAACACTGGTAGGGTGGTGCGCTTCCTAGCACCAAACACTGTCAGCAAACACACCTTACATCACCCTCCATCAAAGTTTGATCACCACTTTAGCAATCAGTAGTGTCTTTGTATTATAATTATCATTATTATTTTTATTTGAATTATTTAGCAGGGACCTAGTGCAAATAACATCTCATAGAGAGAGATGTGTTGCATCATATTTAGCAACTTGCTAATTTCCATCTGCAGACCAGAGCTTGTGTTTCAAGGTGATGATGCACACTTAAAGTGAGACAATAAAGCATAAGCAATAAAACACACTGTTTCTTAAGTCATTAGACTCAGGGGTGCTTAGGTTATGCTGTTACAGCCTTACTTTGACTGATATGACCACTAGCTTCAGGTGGATAATGTTAGCTAACTTTTGGTAAATATTGCTGTGTAACTAACATTACTGATGTAGTTTGCTGACTTCACAACTCTTCTCCAATTTGGCCACTGTAACTGCAGTTTATCATTTTGCCAAATATAGCATTATTGTATAACTTGTAGCTGCAGTGGCTGCTGTTTACCAAATCTTGCTTTAATCATGGGATGAATGGACTATTGCTGGACATGATATAACAGGGGGCATTCATGCTCATGTAGAGGACAAGAAAAAGAAACAGAGAAGATGGGAGATGTGTGAAAGGTGGCAGTGTGAGCGAGAAACCCTAAATCTGGCAGATGCTGATGGACAGTACCAATTTAAGGATCACCAGGGGATGGAAAAGGAGCATTCTACCCTTCTGAGAAGGTCAGAAGAACAAAAATTGAAAAAGAAGTGCTATGATCAGGCAAAGGCGAAGAGCCCTTAACATCGGTGAGGCTGCATGGTCGGACTGGGAAAGAAATTCTGGACCTGGACTTATTCACTGCAACAGGCCCTCACCCCAAATAACAGGCAGAGATGACGGTACTGATAAAAACTTCAGAAACTTTATGGACGTTTTGACAGTACACCGGCTGACCGATGTGGCAGTGCACTGGGATTTGTCCTGGTAGTCGCTATGGCCATTCCAACTATGTTGGAGAGACCTCTGAGAGTTGAAAGGCATGAAGATGGATGCAGAGTTTGTTCTTGTTTCTGCTTGATAAATTTCTAACATTAGCTTTGCAAACAGGCCAGTATAATTTTATCTTGTTTTCTAATGTTTGTGATAGCTAACTGGTTAGTTAACAGGCAGGTCTCACTTTGTGTGTCTGGTAACATTAAATTACTTGCCTATGGACATTCAGCTTAATTGCCAAGATACGCTGTTGGTATGTTGTTAGCTATGATGCTAGCAGGAGATCTGTGAATGTCGCTGTCTGTAGCTAGTGTGCTGGCTATGGGAAACCGTCCCGTCCTCTCTGCAAGCAGCAACTGTAGCTGAAGTTTTGTTTCGTTGTTTGCTCTGTATCATGTCATCCATTTGTACAACATGCAGAAGGTTTGTGTTTTGGATTGGATTTTGGATTTATTTGGTTGGATGAATAATTCAAAATGCTATGCCAGGTAATGTTACCTCCTTGTTAGCTTAGCTACAAACCTGTGGCCCTCTCTTTGGTCACTGTAGTTTTGTAAAAACAATCTAAACAACTAACTCTTTCTAGTTTTTACTCTGTTGTGTTTATGGTGCTGTGTTTGTGTGCACGTCATTTATTTGATGACGTTTTTTAAGGTTTGTTTTGCTTCAGCTATGAGGGTATCCACTTCCACACAGTAGCCTATAAGACACCACTGTAGCAACGCATGTCCATGAATTTTGGGGGCAGAGTTTGTGAAGGAGCACAGGGAGGGTGTATTTGTTTAGCTGTTGAGTTCAAATATCAACAGTCTCTCTCAGGCTCCAGCACTGCTTACTCTACCTTAAGAGTAACAGCTGACAGCAGCACTCTCACCACTGTGCTGCCACTATCACTTAAAGCTACATTTTTTAAAGTTTGCTATTTCCTTGGTTGACTTTGATTTATGTACTATTACTCATTTGATTTTAATGTCCCATTTTACTTATTAAACATGAAAATGATATTCTGCTCATAACTAATAAAAGGCAAAAAAAAGAAAAGAAAAAAAAGACACCAAAGAAAGTCACATATTTAAAGTATAGCCTATTAATGTGACAGTAGGGAACTGTGAGTTTCCAGTGTTTGTATGTGTTCAACAGTGGGATGAGGTTGGAAACAACCATAAAACATGGGTTAGCGCAGGCTCCCTGGGAAAAGATGGGAAATCCAGGACTTTGCTGTCAAAAATCTCTGAAGATCTTTTTTAAGTCTGCTGATGGAAGCAAAGAAGTCTAAATGCTGTTGTGATCTGACTATCAGACTTGCATGAGCCACTGTGTACACTCCCTGAACTTCTGTTAGGGATAACTTCATTATGTCATTAATCTTTACTACATGGTCAATTTAATATGGGAATCTCTTTTAGCAAGTTAGCAGATTCCCCAAATCCTCTGCAGAAACTGTAGCATTAACTATTATCTTTGTTCTGCATTATAAACTCTGCAGTCAAATAACCATGCCTCACATAACCATACAGTTTGTCAATCTGACGTTTATTCTTTCTCTACCATTACCGAGTACTGTTAAAGGCGCAATACCGTGGTACAACCAGATCTCATCTGATGTTACCGATGTTAAACAGGTAAAGAACAAACAGATGAAAATATTTATCATAATATTATTAACAATACAAAACACAGCCACACAGGGACAAGTTTCAACTCAAAAGTACATTAAAATTCTGCATAAATTAGAGACCTAAAGAACAATATTCCAGAGAGGTAATATAAAACTGTACATGACAATACATTTGCAATACATTACAATATTTATTCAAATACGGCAAAATAGCACCAAAAAATAAAAAATTCTCATTCAAAACCATGAACCACACAGTTATAACAGTAAATACTGCATTTTGTAATGTGAACAGTGAAAGCACTGGAGGCATGTACAGAGTTTTGTTGACAGTCTGTTACCTGTGTTGATATTATATGGATGACAGCCTGGTGATGTACTGTAAAAGTAAAGGATGTGTTGTACTCATGTGCCTTCATGTCATTACTTTGTTAACTGTGGTTATGTTTTGATCAAGGGAATTAAATTTATTAAAAATTCAAGACAAGTTTTTGTAAAATTGTAAACTACTCTATGTTTTATCATGGTGACACGATGCTTGTGATGGCCTAGTTTGGTCTTCCTCTTTCTACATTTCTTCTTCTATCTCTTTGACTTTCTAACAGGAACAATCACTGCCAATGACAATCGATCACAGGATCTTAATTAGTCATTTTTGCATGAAGTCCCTCCCATACCATCCCAGTTTCCCACCCTCTTCCCTCTGACCCTCATCTTTCAATTTACTGGCATGTTGTTGTCATTAACCCTCCTTCCCTGGACATGTTGAGGTGTGGTGAAGAGTTGTACAGTTGTTCTGTCCTTATATCTGCATGTTCTTTAATTCACAGGAAGTTGTTGGAAATCTGACGTTGGTGGTCAAACAAGTCCTCCACTTCTGTGCTGTAAGCATCACCTGAAAAAAACAGACAAAGAAGAAAAGTGGAATACACAGTAGAAAATAGGGGGAGGAACATATATGATATGTCGAAAATGAGAGGGTTCATGTTCACTGACAAAGTCTCAACACTGTACCTGCATGGCATCCGGACATGTAAACTCGTGCTCCATCGTACTTGCACCGACAGCGCATCACGTTGTTCTGGAAATCAGACTCAGCCATGTCTAAAGAAGGGTTGACCTCAACCTGTCAAATAAAAGAGATAAGATGCTGCAAGATTAAAATCAGTCATACACCTCACAAGAACCCTTTTAAACCAACTGGACTACACACACACACACACACACACACACACACACATATATATAAATATATATATATATATATATATATATATTATCCTGTCCTTTTCCTAGATACAGACCTTAGTTAAAAGATTTTCTCATACTCTGAGTATCTGTGTAATAACAGGCACCATACTGTCTATTTCTATTTGAATTTTCATACAAACAAGGCTACCCCCTGTCCCCACAGCTCTTCCCCTTTGTGACTGAACCACTCACACAAGCAGTAAGGGCAGCCCAGCGTATCTTTCCTACTGTACAAGACAGACACAGGCATTGTATTTCCCTGTATGTGGACGATATTCTGTTATATTTGTCAAGGGTATAAGTCTTCTTTACACATTCACTTGACATTTTTATTAAAGACCTATTGGCAAATTTAACCAATAATACTGAAATACTTAAAGATTGGGATTGGATGCAGGTATTGTTGCAGGATGAAATATCTATCGTAAAGATGACTATTTTACCAAAGCTCAATTTTCTATTTTTCATTATGGCATTAATTTGGATTGGGTTAGGGTAAATAATTCAGTAACATCACACACATCAAAGAGTTTAGCTCATTAGCCGATTAATTACAAAGTTAACTACTTATGCTATAAATTCAACATTTTGGGAAATACCATTATATATTATCAATATCAATTTCATGCCTGTATTTTAAATATGAAGCTAGCTAGGACTCTGTTAGCTTTGCATACAGAATGGAAACAGGGGAAAACAGCTAGCCTGGCTCTCTGTATAAGTTTAAAAAATATGTCTACCAGCACCTCTGAAGCACATTAGTTGACAAGTTATATGTTTTTAATTTTTTTTTAAATTGGTTTTTCGCATTAAAGTGACAATTTGTTGATTAAGAGGGTATTATGGGTGGGAATATTTCTGGGCTGGGAGCAGTGACTTCCTGAAGTCTCCACTGAATGTACCTTTCTGTCTAAGTCTGGAGTGGCTTTTCATAAAGTAAGGGAACAAGTGAGAAAGTAACACTTTACTTCAGACGGTTGGAAAACAACCATGGGGCCCAGTGAGAAGCCGCAGGATTGTTCTCTCCCTTTCTATATAGCTCATGATGTATAAATTGAGGGTTGAAGTGATGCATGACATCACTTTCCACTGTTATCTCCCTGCAGGAAAAAAAGGCCCAGAGATGCAGATGACAGTTTTGGGTTTGGATTTAAGTTGCAGCCTATCATTAGGCTGCAGCCATGGTTGGTCGCCATGGTTTGTTGTTTTCCACCCTGTCTGTCTGCCTGCCATATATAAGAAAAGCACACAAATGAATTTTCCTGATGCACACATCAAACAGATAACCTGACCACATATTCAATAAAGCAACCCAGTTTCATTTTTTTACATACAGTATAAATTTTGTGGTTTCAATTAGCTATATTTACAGAGTAAGATTTAAGACTTAAAATATTCATTATAATGATTCTTTTTCATTACATTCAGCCATACAATACTTACAGCCAAATTTGGTGTGAAGAACTTCATATATTTTTTAATATTGAATGTTGAGAACGGCCAATAATTTCAGCACATACTTTATTGTGCCGGTGTAAAACACCATATTAAGTTGGTAGCAGTTGATGCTCTTTTAAAAGCTCTTGTAATAATGTGACACAAAGGGCCCACAGCTGGTTTTACAGAACAATGAAAGGTTGTCACTGTCATGTAAAAGGCAGTGAGGTTGTGCAGCTGAACGGCGTAATCAGGAGCAATCAAGCTGAGGTGGACGTGACTCATCAGTTTAAATGTATGGTCCTAAAAATGGTTGCCACCCTTTGACTCTTGGTAAACACCCAGCTGCATGAAAGACGAGCGAGCATTTGTGCCCTCCCTCAATCTCGCACTTCTTACACAAATTTATGAGCAGCTCAACTACCGTTCAACCACAGTAACGACCACAAAGTGCTGCTGGGTCACGTCGCCATGGCAAAGGCAGATCCCTGCTTTACGGCATATATGTGGTTTTATCTCTCAAAACGTGGCTTGTCACATGTGTACTACTCGTACAGCGCAGACGGACCACTCCTGTGTGTAGTTTACGTACAGTCCATGCACCCACTTACAAGTCAAACTTAAACATCTTGATTTCATGTAAACACTCAGAAAATAATTAGAAACTGTAAACATCATCACTTTGCTGCCACTAAGCTGTCGGGAAAAAATAGAACAAATGACAGAGAGGGAGGACAGATGAGTAGGTCACCACAGCAGATTGGACGTCTAGAAACAGGCGAGACATGTGAACAGGCTCAGCTTCCAAACACAAAAACTTGCTCTGTACAAATTTAAAGTGCTGACAGAGCTTTTCCACTGCCAATAGGCCCGTACTTTCTAAGAGGGTGTACTAATAGCAGGTCTACTTTCTATATAAATCCAGACTAAATTCACTTTCCTTAAATACGCACACACCCTTAAAACTACATACATGCTGTACACCTGAATGGCTGGAAGCACAGCCAAGAGCCATTTAGCTGAAATTACAGTCTTTTATCACAGCTTTTATCTCATGTGCGCCTTCAGATGTTGAAACACCAACCCTGGTGTTTGCCCTGTTCTTTACTTTTTCTTTTTCACTTTCCTGAACTTAGCGATTGTGTAAGATAAGTTCCGCTCTTTCACCATGAAGAATGAGGTGTGGATGACTTTTTTCTCTGCGTAATTTTTTCTCTATAGCCAACTCAACATACTGTATAAAAGAATCTGGGTAATCGAGCCTCCTGACCTGGAAGATGTATTCACCAGGTCGTACGTCTGTGATGTCGACCCACTGACAGTCAATGTCATGGCGGTAGGTGTCCCAGCAGCCAACTGAGATACCCTGCTGTCCCATGTTATAGCAGGCATACCGCTTATGGATACCTGGAAGAAAAAAACATATGAAGAACAGATAAAAAGAGATGACTATGATGTGTAAATTGTCTTTGCTGTCCATCTCTGTGGATTTGAAATTCTACCATGAAGCTGTAATTACAACAAAATGATTTAAAAGCCTGAGCTTTTTTTGGGGACTTTAAAATGAATAGAAAGGCTCTGAGCTGTATAAAGCAGACTGGGCTTTGTAAAGCCAAGATCAATTTGGGCTTGGCCTCTGATCTTACAGCTGACTTTGAATGCTCATTATGGGATTTCAGCTTTGCACTTTTATGTACCCATGATCTTCTTGTTGTCACGATTCTGCTCTCGCTTCCAGATTTCCCTCAAAAAGCAGATTTATGCAACATTAATCTGTACTCTGTCTCACCTTCGGGGCAGTAGGTGTCCTCCAGACAGAAGCTGGCTTTGTGGCCTTCGGCCACCTTGGTCCCGTTGAGGGTGAGCAGGTCGTAGTGGGTGAACACCTCAATGCTGTGGTAGTGCCTGAAAATGGGATCAGCGTGGTAAGATCAATAGAGGAAGGAAGTAAATAATGATAGAAAGTCATAGAAAGAAAGCTCTCTGCTGATTCTGCTGCTGTTTTTGCTGTTTACAAGTGTCACCTTTATCATTCTGTGAAAAAAAAAAAAACACAGGATGACGTGTATTTGAAATATAGCAGTCATAAATCCTGTTATGTTGTTGCGAAGACGTCAAACAGACACAAACAACAATTGTAAAAGCACAAATTGGCAGATATCAGTTTGGTGTTGCCCTTTCTCTCATTATAGAGCCATTCCCAGAACAGACTCTACCAAAACTGAAAGTCAAACCATGTGTTTGCTGGTCGGGGAGGTAGTGATTGGGTTGTGGCTCGGAGACACAACGAGCTGTGCCTCTCGCTTTGGGACACGGAACCACAACCGCTGAGATAAGAAGCCAGGCTGCTCTGAGTGCAGTCATGGCTCTGACTGTAACAACTGGGTGACCAGTGAGGAGGATGTTTATTGTAAACATAATTTTGAAGGATAAAAGTTTGTGTTTATTGCGTGAAATAACAGACTTTTATACGTGTTAGGTTATTTATAGTCCAGATCTTGAAAATATTGCTGCACTGGGCTGCACCCAGTGATCCAATTTCACTTACCAAATCTTAGATTCTCATTCATCTCTTGCTGCAGACATTTCATTTTTTGACCTATGGTAGCAACTGTTATTTTTTTGGGGTTTTTTTTTGTACAATGCTTCTATTTCTTGTGCCACCTCATAATGATGCCCTTCCCTGTGCCATGGAGGAGGTTAGGCAGGTTTTCTTTTCCGACCAAACCCTGCAGCAGCTCAAATCACCGTGTAGTTAATCCCTATCTGGGTTGAAGGCGTAAAATGACTGACTGTAAATGTCTGGTCCAGGTTAGGGATCCTCTGTCTAATCTTACCTGTGGCACTGGTGCCATGTCCAGCTTTCTCTGGTGGCCCGGGGTCGGAAGTCGGCACGACCCAGGTTCATGATGCGGGAGGAGAAGCGCAGCAGGCGGCGGTGTCCGTAGGGCCAGTTCATCCTGGCAGCGGAGGAGGACAGGCAGTTCTCCTCATTAGCGCAGGTCAGCAGGTGGAGGGGTCGATCCTCCAGGTAGGCCGTCTCTTGGACGAGCTGAGCGTCCAGGACAAGGTCGGGAGCAGCTGCAGGGGGTCAAGACTCAGAGTTTACTTCACAGTCATTGCACAACAAATACAAATATGCCCATGTGTTTGCTGGTTTTGGCCTCACTCTCTACACATGTGACTCCTGCGGCCCTGCCGTCTCCTCCTCTGGGACAGTAGACATTTGTGTTTCTGCGACACTGCTGAATGGACATCTCAGTGCCGATGCAGTGAGTCCCGCTCAGAACCACCTCCCCAGCATCTGCAGAACCAGGCCAGTACCAGGTTTCCTGCACAGGCACACAAGAAGAAATCATTAGAGCTCATTTGTGCGGTTGTCTTAAACACTTCTGGAATAATGACAAGAAGACGTAAAAAATGTCAGCGGTGAAAGCAAATAGCAACCTCTGCTATATACAACGAAACTATTTATAGGAACTATCAGAACACATTATCACATTTTCCACTCTCTTTCACAATTTTAAAAGGGCCTGTTAAATGTTCCCAGCAGCCCCCCTCAAAACACACTCACACTGCCCTTTCCATGCACACTTCTATTTTCAGTTTGTTTGCTCTGTGAATTTCTTCCGATCTCTCTTTGCCTCACTTTCCCTCTTTTATTTTCGGTGTGCTGGAAGTGGACGCTTGAGAAGCCTGTAATTACCTCAGGCCTCGGTAATAACACAGCGCAGACACAAAAACAGCAGGACGGAGAGAGAGAGAGAGAGAGAGAGGGAGGAAGAAATATAGGACAGATGCTTAGAAAAGGAGAGAATGAAGCAGAAACTTAAAAACTAATCTGCTGCAGAAAGAAAAAAAAACAACATCAACATATTGTAATCTGTTGCTCACCTGATGAGCTCTTGAGGCGAAGCCCAAGCCCAGCTGTCGACAGACCACCATGGCCTCGTTGATGCCCCAGTTCTCACTGCAGACGGATCCCCAACGCTTCACTCCTCCGACCTCCATCAGCACCTCCACACGGCCCTCTGCTGGCTCTCTGCCTCCTGCCAGACGCACCTGAGTGTGAAGGGAAGAAGAGGTGTTTGCCTGTGAGTGATACTGCTTCACAGCCTGCCTCTGGATATCTAGGCATGTTTTGTGTGTGTGTGTGTGTGTGTGTGTGTGTGTGTGTTTTCTCACCGTGGTCTGCAAGCCAGTGTTGGGCACATTGCAGCGGATTGCTACATCCTGGTTGTGTTTGCAGCTGTAAAGCGGCACCACTCTGTAGTGGCACTCTGTAATCGACTTCTCCCTGCCTGTGCACTGGACACTGTTCATGTGGATGGGACCAGTACCTACAGAAGAGGGCGTGGAGTGACAGTTGATTGATTCACATGTCTCCTAGTAACCATAGGCCACATGCAAAGAGACTCACGCACACACACAGGCTACATTAAAGTCTCTAAAACCTGATGGCTGCAGCCACATATGTCCACAGAGAGGGATTAAAAGCCCAGGCATGATCGGGACCTCTGATGTGGCTCTGAAACTGAGCTTAGCCAGAGAGCTTTCTGTCTAAATTACTGTAGTCTGTGCTGCAAACTGCACACCAGGGCTGTGCTTTCTAAACCAAAATAGATACCAAAATGGCAAAACAGAGGAAAACCTTTGAACACATCTATGTTTGCGTAGGTGTGCGAGGCCTAGGCTAATGCCCTTTAAAGCCCTATAATTTAGCCTTAAATAGCTAATGATGTCATCAAGTCTAGCTTTGAGTTCTCTGACTGCACTACCCATGAGCCTTCACATGCCTCCTGCAATGCAGACTCACCTCTCGTACGTTATACAGTATATTGGCACGACTTTGGTAAACAGGCCGGAGGCATTAAAAGCCACAACGCTCCTCTCTGACATTCAACCACGTTCATTATTGAGTGAGCAGCACCAAAGCACCTAGTTTAATAGAGCCCTAAAAGTAACACTCAAGCGGTTTCCATCACTACTTCATTAAGTAAAGTAGAGAGAGGGAAATGCACCCACCATTATAGGACATGCTATGTGCTCATTTGGGCAGAAGGATAATGGGGGGAAATGAACGTGATTACAGAGTTACTGCAGGGGTGCAGCGAGAAAAAAAGGACAATAACTGAGTGTGAGAAAGTGGCGTCTATGGTATTTCCTAGGAAAATGCTTCACTGTATTATTGCTACACAATTTAGTGACTATATTTTCATACCCACAACAAAAGCATGGCCAAAATAATCACATCTTTCCTGAATGTTTGGTCGTGCTCAGTGCTGATTGCCTGACATCCTGGCTTTCAAAGCTGCGCTAACTGTTCACATACAACAGGTTTATTTTGACAACAACACATGGTCGCTGGAACCTCCTAGCATAGTTTACACTTGTATAATTGGTCATGGGTAGGGTTCCTCGACAATCAGCTTGTCCGATAGAAGTAGCAGGGAGGCTGTAAACATTTTCCCTGGGTTTATTTGTCTGCTCGGGCCCATGGTTCTTGGAGTGCTGCGTTTAGCAACAGACGTTTAAACTGAGAAGTGTTTAGTCTGAAGGAATCACTGAGCTCAACTGATCATGCTCAGGGTTCATGGTGAACTCAGGCACTGATCCAAAATCAATTTAACACATAACTGATAATCATAACTGATCAGCAGCCAGGGGTCTTTATTGTACTCTATCGCTTTCTGAATAACGATATCTAATAACTTAGAGAGACAAAGAAAGACCCAGTTATAGATTTGTTTTAACATACTGTACACGTCTAACTAGGAACGTTGAGTAAAGTTAAATGCATCTACAAAGTGCAGTTTGACCTAATGTACACTATGTGTGTGGCTATGTTTATGTGTCCTATCCTACCCTGTCCCAGTTGAGCCTTAGTGAGGGCCTCTTTGGCTGTCCCGAAGCCCAGCTCCCTACAGACCACGCTGGCTGCAGTCATGTCCCACAGGTGGTCGCACACAGTGCCCCACTTGCCCTCTTGCAGCACCTCGACACGACCCTCCCCAAGACGGGGCCCCGCCTTCAGGCGCACGATAGGCTGGAAGGAAAGAGGAAGAGCTTTGGTGAGAAGTGGTTTGGAAATCTTATTCTACTTTAAAGCCTCTCTGGATCTGGTGCAGTTACCTCCTGTTTGTGTACAGGTCAAACAAACCAGATACAAGGTGTTAATTAGAAAACTTAAGAGGTGCTGGGTTTTTGCTAATAATAGCTGTTTCCCCATGCTTCCTGTCTTTATGCTAAGTTAAGTGTCTCCTGTTTGTAGCTTCATATTTACTATACAGACAGGAACTTCTCATTTACTAGCTAGCGTTTTAATTTTAACACTTTCATTGACAATCTATATTTTTCAACTGTCCTCCTCGACACTGACCGGGATGGCAGGTGGTGCAGGTACTCTTCCATAGCGTGCAAACTGGGATCCGGGGACGCAGCGGACTACAGCATGCATGCCCCCCTTGCATGGGGCATCACTCCTGGGGAGGGACAGCTGGGCCTGGCACTGTGACAGAGAGGGCTCCAAGCCCTGACACTGCACTTTCTCCACCCAGTAGGCCTTTTTACTGATCTGTGTCCTCAGTCTGGATGGGGGGATGAAGGGGAGGAGCAAGCAGAGAGACAGACAGAGAGAGGTAGAGATTTATGATTTGTCACATTACTCATCCTCACCACAGAATATGAAGTTATTATGCTTCAAAGCAAGCAGATGCTAATTTTACCTGGAGGATGGGTCAGCTAACTTGGAGTCCCACAGTTTCCTGAAAGACAGAGAACATCACACTCTGGATTTATTTTGGATTACAACTGTGCATCTTTACATCCAGTAGACTAAACAACCAGCTGTCCTATACACTCTCCTCTTTCCCCCTCAGTCATCCTTCCTTCTCGTCCTTGACGTCCCTACTCTTCCACTCCGTCTATCAAACCTTAAACAAACAAACCGAAAGCCGTAAATATGAAGGAGACACAACATGCTGGAGAGGGTGTGTGTTTTTCTGGATAAACATATCCCTCATGTAAGAGACAAAGGAAATTCACAATAACAAATCACATAACCCCACATTTCTTTCTTTCTTTCTTTCCCTCTCAAACCACCACCCTCTTGTCATGACTTTTTTCTTTTTTTTAGATCTTCTATGGGTATTTCTGTTTCAGTGTTTGTCTATATGTCTACCGCGGATGTCTGGTTTTGGGCATGCATGTGGAAAAAATAACTAAAAACATGAATAAACCACTATACATTAATCCCCGCAAGAAGCCCAGGTGAGATCTGCCAACTTCAACAGGGTTTTCAAAACTGTGTCTAGTTTCATGGGTACTACCTTAAACTAGAGTCAAATCCTAAAGGGAAACTGTGTATACACAAAATGAGGCTCCCTGTGCCTGGGCGCACACACACACACACACACACACACACACACACACACACACACACATACACATGCACAAGAAAAATGATTCACAAACCAGGCAGAGTGTGGGAAGTGTCCATCTGTGACACACACACACACACACACACACACACACACACACACACACACACACATACATTAGAGCTGACCACTTGCATCAGCCAGTGCGACCACAGACAGGTGCAGCATGACTGACGCCCTTCATGAATGTGCCTGTATTAAAGTATTAAATGAGTCACAACACCAAGTATAGACAGGAGGAGAGTTTACTCTACGACCAGATTCATGATACAATTAAATATTTAAAATAGGAGATGTTTCCTCTCCAGGAGAACCCCGGTACCCTGGTATTCCACAGGTTATTGATCCACTGAGAGAAATGTGTTTGAGGCTGGAGGGGCCTGTAGGGAAAGCCCACAGCAGGAATCCTGAGCCAGAGAAACTTCTATATGTAACATGTAAACCTCAAATCATTTATAATCCAACAACAGACCAGGCAGTGACGGGCAAACTTGTATGTATGATTCCTTTCATGCTATATTTCCACCCTCATATAAGTTTACACAGTCACATATTAATATGTTGTGACAGCAGTGATGAACTGGAATTTGGACAACCAGTCTGGTCCAGACAGCTGGCTTCTTCTGGTGGATAAAAGTGTTCAACTCCCTCTTCCACCATGTGCAGACTCAAAGTAGTGAGATCTGCAAAGAAAGGAGTTGTACTACAAATATCTTAAACCTACAAAAATGTATCTTTTTGGCCACCGAGAGCCAGTGGAAATACACTGTGAACGGGCCACTGACATATCATGACCTTTTCAGTTTATATGGCGAGCACATTTACTCTCTTTTAGCTCTGTTTGGTCTTTTCCAACTCCTGAGAAAATGATCTGGCTCCACCGAGCAGGTTGTGCACATTGCATTTTTTAATTAGCTACCTGCTGCATCTGGAAACGGGGTTGGTAAGATTGCTAAGAGCCATCTATTCTTGCCTTATTTCTTCTCATATTTCTTTATCTTCTTGCCTTCCTTCCCTCTATTTTGTCTTTTCATTCACACCACTTTCTTTTCCCCTTCATTCTTTTCCTCTCTCCCCATTCTTTGCTTCATTTCTTTCCTTTTTCCTTGCTTCTTCTCTCAATTCTTTTTCCTGCTTTGCTTCCACCTCTTCATGGGAATAAGACACATATAATAGCACAGTGATGGATCTAGAAACACAGACTGTTTCCGGGTAGAAGTTACAGATCCTATGACTTTTCTGCAGTTTAAATCTCTCTATATATGCGTGAGCTGTGCCTGGCGTGCTGGTCTATCTGCTTGCGTGTGTCTGAGCCTATCTGTATGTGTTTGCACAGTTTAAATTGTTTCATAATTTGGTGGTAAATCAAAAAGAGAGCGACAGACTAGTGGGGGGTGTTAGTCACGGTTTGTTAGAGGTGGAGGAGGAGGAGGAGGAGAAGGGGGGCGCTACCCATATAATTGCCTGTTCGGCTCGGCAGTGTGCTGTGCGGTCGAGCAGTAGCATGTTGGTTCACACACTCCAGACATGGAAATATGCACGTACATATCAACTTTCCCTGCCTTGCCTCTATAAAAACAAAGCTCTTTAAAACCGTCGTTACCCAACACTGTGACTGCATGCTGGGAAACACAGAGCGAGTGATGTAAGACTGAAGTTTCTGTGAACTTGGCTACTTTTATGAGCATTGCCTAACTTCACAGGAAGGGGAAAAGCATGTTCTTTTGGTTGTCAGATACATTTCAGTTGTCCTGCAGCGAGCTGAAATAATTGTGTGTGATACTCTTTGTCCAATCGGAAACACAGATTGGAGCGGAGTTAAGGCTCTCTCAGGCTCATAAGGAGATTTAAAGGAAGGGAGGGGAACCACAGCATAAAGCCTCAACATGACAAACACGTTGTGACCGCAGTACTACTGCCGAATCCTTTTAACCTGGAGAAGACTTCCTTACTTCTCAGGATCTTCATCTCGATGCCAGGTTTTTTTTTATGCAGCTCTGACCACACAATCCCATAAGCCATACTGGAGAGAGGGGCTGACTGTCAGGAAAGCAGAGATGCAACCTGTTATTATGCTGCATGAATGCAAAGCTGCCTGACTGGAACAATCGGCTCACTCAGGAGACAGCAGGTTGCCACACTGAGCTCACAGCAGCCTCTAGACAGTCCCATCAACCTCCATGGAACAAAACTCAAAGGGGTCATAATGATCTTTCCATGAAATGTGGGTTTTAGTATAATTGCCTCAAAGGAATTAAACTTGGCCTTAAAAAAGGCTGTAACTGAGGACGGGGGAAACAAGGAGCAGGGGGTGAAAATAAATGAGAAGAACTGAATAAGTTACTGTGAGCCTCAAAGAGAGTGTGGATCTGACGAAACAAGGGAGCTGGAAAATGGCTTTAGCACTTGCCTTTTGTAAGCACGGCAAAGTGGGGGGAGTATTTAAACATCTGTAAAAACGCACTGAGCAACTTAACAGGCAGAGACAAAAAGAAGTCACACCAAAAAAACAACCAAGGCCATAGTGGGAAATGCTGACACAGCAAAGGCGGGTGCAGCAGGTTCAGTTGAGAGAAGATTCTGGATTAGAGGACCTCTGAAACCATAATTACAGCTGTTCATAAGTGGACTCAAACCCCAAAGAAGAGCAGGCATGGACCCCTGCCAGCACAATGAGTATTACCAGGAAGATGTAATGTCACTGTTGTCGTGAAGATTGAATGAAAATTTGGCTACTATCACTTTGGTTACTGTCATGCATAAGGTACTGAATGTCACAATTTAAGTCATAAATGTGATCTTTGCACATATGTATTCAAACAAGTGGATAGGGCAACAACTTGTGAGTCCCACTAACAAGACTAAGCATACAACCATACTAGCGGCTCTTGGAGGCTTAGCACAGTGCTGCTTGGAGATAAATGCTAACATCAGCATGCTAACATGCTTATAATGGCAATGTTAACATGTTGACATTTATATTGTTTACCATGCTCAAGATATTCACAATCTTAGTTTAGCGTGTTAGCATGCCAACATGTTCCCCATGCTTATGTTAGGAAGTAATGTTACTGTCTGTCTTTTATTGAGCTAATGCTTGGTAATTAGCACTAAACAACACAGAGTGTAGCTGAGGCTAATGTCATTCGTATTCGTTTTACAAGTATTTGCACAGACACCAAAGTATTGGACAAACTGAAATTTGAGCACTAGATTAAAAGTTACTGAGTTGCAGTTGTTATAATTAATGTTGAAGGGGACCATAAATATCTGAATGTGACAAAGAAAAAGTGTCAACATCATGGTAGTGGTAGAGGATCACCAAAGTTGCACCATGGATTTCTGTACCAAAATTTCATGGGAATCCATTGAAAATGGAAAAAATGACAACTTCATGGTGGCGCTAGAGGCTAGACTAAAGTTTAAAACATAACTAATCAGTCTAAAGAGTGGTCGACGCACAATAATGTAGGTTAGCTCTGTTATGGTTTCAAAAGGAAACATTTTCAAAAGCATAACCCGCATAAACATCTGACTCAGACCACTTGAATGAAGATGCCTTATGCTGCTTGTTCTTTTCTGCTAAAAAACCATTTCTACCCCCCTCAGCTGTTTACTGTCGGACAAAAATGGCTGCTTGATTCATCTCCCACGTAGCTGGGTGGAGGTTGACAAAAAACAAATAACATTCTCTGGCCTGGTCCCGTCTTTACGCAAGCTGCTGGTTGTGTTCTTGGCACAGATAAAGGCCGTTGCTCCTTGACGACTCTGAGGTGTCTTTCAGCAGAATTAGATTTAGAAATTTAGTGTGATGGGCAACTAGACTCTGATGTTTTTTGCTCCATGACATGAAGGATCTTGTAGCTTGACCAAAAGGACCCACTTCAGTGAAAGTGAAGACAAAGTGCGTAAAAGTCTCACATCACTGCATCTGAACTACACGGCTCTGAAGAAGCCCTGAGAGATAACACACTATGAGAGTTATTAATTCTGAGGCTATGGTGGTGACCAGGGCAGCCGAGTAGAAGCAGCTTGTATCAAGCTGCCAAGCAGAGCAGAGCAGGACACAAGGGGTAATTATTGGCACCACGGAGAGACAGATGGTGCAGGGCAGGCCAGTGGTCAGTACAGTCGTCCTGTTAGCCAAGCCATAAAAAGACCTCTGTGGGCAGACAGACGGACACACAGAGGGTTGTGTTTGCGTGTGCACAAGCATGTGTGAGCGTGTTTGTGTGTTTATTTGCGTGTGCACGTGGCTCTTGGACATAGTTTATGTAAGGTCTTGTAAGATCCTGTGTGATGAGGGTGGAGGGAGGGATGTATTCGCGTGTGTGTGTGTGTGTGTGTGTGTGTGTAAGTGAGGTATTGAGGTTTGGATGGTATGTTTGTAGGAGCTTTGAAGGTTTGTGTAGGTGCTTCAGTGGGTATTTATGGCTAAAGTTAGACAGATGAGTTGGATTCATGGGGATAAAATCAACATAACAGTCTGACATTATTAGCATAGTGAATGATTTGTGTTTGAGGGACAATGAAAGAATTATGAAAACATTAACAAACAGAAAGCTTAAGTCCTGCCTCTTCTCCTCGTGAGCCTCCAACTCAGTTCGTTTTCTCATGAAAGGTTTATTTTTTCAGTCGGTCTGAAAAGCTGTCACATGTCTCTGGCGTTATATGCTAAGCTAAATGTGTGTTTATGACTGTACCTAGTAAAATTTTAGCACACTGTAATTTTAGCAAATAAAACCCTATGATTGTGTTGCTAGGATTAAATAACTATGGCTCAAGTTTTCAGATTTTACTGACCAGTACATGCCCAACTGCATTAAGTTCGGTTTTGCCACTTGGGGGCAGCGACTAGATGTGAAAACAATATCACCTTTTAGGTTGATTCGGTGAACGGATATGGAGGAACTTCTGCATTTATGTGTTTGTGAAGTGTTTCTGTCCACCTGATGAATGTAAGTCCAATATTCACTCAGCTTTTAGTTCTAGTTTGGTTCCTGACAACTCCTCAGGGAAATATTGGACTGTTTAGCTGCTAAATGCTCCGCTACGTTCACCAGTTGTTACTGTATCAGCCTGCAGATTGGCGCTGGGCTGGTGTGTCAGGTTTTATGCTTTTTTTGGTCAGGTCAGGATAAGGTTAGGTTCAGGTTAAGGCAAGGGGAAACAGATTTCGACACCTGCTGTGTCTGGAAAAACATTATATATGGCAGCTCTAAAATATGATCGGAAAACCCAAAAGCAGCTTTTCAGAAAAATAAAAGGAATCCTATTGAGTTATAAATGGTAGTGAAAGTCCTGGCCCTCTTTCAACTAGCTAGAAAACATGCCACTGCTTTATTATACAATACTGTTGTTTAATCTGTTAATTGGTTTAAAATTTATGAATGTAATTTGTGATTTAATGTGATTCCTCTCTGTTTGAGGATTACTGAGTAATGATTGTGACAGATCCATACAGAGACATTAAATTGCCTCTTACACGCCACTCTACGTTAGAAAGTGCTGCTGTGCACAGTTCTCTAGGAGTTTCTTAATTATATGAGATTAGAAGCCATGTATGGGAGGATTCATGTAAAGACACACACCATGATGATGATGATAATCTTGTAGTCTGGATCTGACATTAATAACATACTCTCTCAAACTATTTTAAAGGCTTGTGCTGCCCTCTCAGCCAGTGCGGCAGACTGGACTGGCGGCCACAGTGGACATGTCGTGCCAAGTGTGGTCGTACTAATGACAGCAGTTATGGTTAACCTCTACTACGGGGGGGTGGGGGGGTGGAACAGCAATCCAGGCATGGGGCCACCTAACCCGTGAAGGGATGTGTAGTTCACCACACTTTTCCATCCCTTTCATAACCACACACACACACACACACACACACACACACACACACACACACACACACACACACAAAGAGACACACATCCATTTGTACACACACTCTCTTTTTCACCCCTCTCCTGTCACTCTGCTGTGTCCACTCTCACATATTTCACCTGTAGCTGTTTTGGTCGAACGCCTCGGCAGCAGGGAATCCTAACATGCCACAGACAACACGGCTGCTGCTCAGGTCCCATCCCTTGTTACACACATGACGCCACCTCCCAGCATGCTTCACTTCCAGCACTCCCTCCGTCACCAGACCGCCATGGTTGCTGGACAGCACAGGCCGTAGACGAACCTCCTCTAGGTGAACCCTCTCAGATCCCTGTCCATGAGAAAACATGCAACTTTTTGATTGATAAAAACATGACAGATAATCCAAGAACTGCTTTATTTTATTTAAATCTGTACAGACACAGGATAGAAAAGGATATTTTGTCACACTTATTTATTGCATTACTCAGCACACATCCACCAAGCCTTTGTCTTGCTCTCCAAAACAGGATTAATTCAAGTTAATACACATGACTTCATCTATGCTCAGACAACACATTGTGTGACTGAATATCTGCAGACGCCACCCAATCGAGAGAATAACATGAGATGACGTTGATGCTTTGTCTCTAATCATCACACTCTCTAATCATCTGCGTTACATACTCTGAGCAGCAGGAAGGAAACTAACAGAAAACACAGAGTTTGCCTCCTGTCGGTTGACGCGCTGTGATGATTACAAAATGGTAAAGAAAGTGTAAACTCTGCCAGTTGAAAAGAAAGAAAGCCAAACACAAGTGATAAATGTCTTGCAATTTCCTCTGGTATGAAGTTCTTGCACGTTTGAAGAGTTGGAGCTGCTGAGCTATTGAGCTGCTGTTGGTTAAATTAAACTTCAGGGCCCGCTGCTGCGTATGAACTGGATCTCTAGAAGGTTTGGTTTTAGGTTTCTCTCTAATTATACGTTCCCACAAATGAGATTTCTGTAGGAGAGTCTGAATAAAGTTAGATTGGGTTGCTGCTGCTTCTTTGGTGTGCACTAGAGGTTGTGTGTGTGTGTGTGTGTGTGTGTGTGTGTGTGTTTACCTGTGTGTAATGCGCATCAGTCTCCACTCCCATGTCTGGATAAACTGGGTCTGGTTCAACATGGTTACCACTGAGCTGTTGATTTCTGTCGCTCCTCCGCTCAGACTGGCGCTGGGAATGAGGCTGAGCATCCCGTCTCACCGCTTGTGAACTGGTCCTGTCCTGCCTCTGCCTGTAGGTTGCACCGTTTGCCAGGTGTGAAGGGAGCTCGTGCCCTTGTGGAAGTAGCGGGTTCACCTGCTGGCTTGCTCTGGAACCGCCTCGACTCCGTCGCAAGATTTGGATCTCATGGCCATTTTCTTGTGGTGAGATGCTGCTGCGACGGGAAGTAGTTGGGTTGCGATGGAGGGCGATCTCATGGCCTCTTGAAGAGGAAGAGATGTGGGCTGGGCCTGCAGGTGGACCTGGAGGGGACACAGGTGGGTTTCTCTGTCTTCCTTGGCTTGGCTGCTGCCTGGAGGATGAAGGGGCCTCCTGCAAGGAGACAGGGGGGAAGCCAGGCCTCCTCTCTGGACTGCAAATGACCCCAAGGTCCTCAGCGTGGGTGCAGTCATTGACTCCCCACCCATTGGAGCGACATTCTGCAATAGAGAACTCTGTGCCCTTGCAGCGCACATTGTCCAACCAGATCAGACCTAACAACAAGAAAGGCCGGTAAGTCATTGAATCCAGAGAAATAAAAACATTATTAATGAGCAGGGAAGATGGTCAAATACTCTTGGCTGGACTTACCTCGTCCCTCACCAAACTTGGCACTGTGCGCCCAGGTGAAGCTGCGTTGAAAGCCCAATTCTCGGCACACCACATTGGCCAGGTTAAGATCCACCTCGTCGTCACACACGGTGCCCCATGCTCCATTATAGAACACCTCCACACGTCCCTCATTTGCATTGCGCCTGCCTACGCCTGCGAGACGTATGCGCGCCTCCTGGCCTGACAAAGGAGGAGGGTGGAGGAGAAGCAGGAGGAGGAGTGTGGACAGGTAGCTGAGGCACAGCATCCTGCGGAAAAATGGAGAATAAGGAGTGAATTGGAGATGATGGGGATGAAAAGGAAGCTGCTGTGATGCGAGGTAAAGAGAAGTACAGCAGTACAGAAAGCAGAGAAGGTGCATGTAAAGCAAGAGTCCCATAAATAAAGATGCACAGTTACCACAAAAATCCCCAAAATCACGCTAAGCCATGGAGCTCACATTCCTTACTCTGACAAAACATATAATTAGAAAGTGCTCCTCTAACCCTAATGGGACATTCCACGGTAAAATGAGAGATTGATAGATGTTTTTTATCCTTTAAAATAATCAGAGTCATTTAAAAGACAGTCAGAGGCTTGAGAAACACTATGAAAACGGAGCCCTCCATCTGAACCAGTCAGAGCAGAGGGAGTAATAACTGAAGCTAAAAGTAGCCTCTCCATCCAGCCAACGGAAACTTTGGCTTTCCGCAAACCCTCAAGCTTAGCTGCATGTATTTAGCTAACAGACACAAAAGCAAATAAACAGTCATAAAAAAATGCTCTCACACATAAATAAAGCAGCAGGTTCTGCGTCTGTGAGAGACAGTTCAGTTAATGAGAAATGATTAATTCATCCTTGGTCCACCTCTAAAACCTTGCTCTTCTAGTAAAGAGGAGGAAGCTGCAGATAAGGAGCAGTCTGTGGAAGAAGAGACGAGGAGACGAGGAGAAGAGGATGAGAGAAACACCTAACAGTGACTTAATCCACCCAAGGGGGTCAGTGGTCAGTGAAACTACGCTCTACATATACATAACGTGCATTCATAACATACGCTCACTCAAGAACACACATATGTGTAAGTAAAAGCGACATCTCCGACTACTGAGTGCTGGATTGAATTGATAAAAGAGAAACGAATGTGGGTGAGTTCAGGTACCTGCAGGGATGAAATCTTGGATTATGGAAGAAAGACAAACTGAACCAAAAAAAACAAACAAATGAGACAAGGTAAAGTAAAGAGACAAGAGGGAGAAAAATGCTGAAGTTGAACTCACCTTGCCATTGAGCTCAGCCTGGAGTCACTGGGAGAAAGAAGGGAGAGAGCTCTGGAGGAAAAGAAGGCAGTGAGTTTGGTCCTGCTGTCTCTCTATTCTCCTCTTTTCCCTCCCTCTTTCTTTTTCTGTCACTCCCTCAGATCTGTTAATTCATCCATCCCTCCCCTTTTCTTCATTTAGGTAAGCTTTTTTCCCCCCTCCTTTTCATCTTGTCACGTTTGTCCTTTCCATCACCCATCATCACCCATCAAACAAAACCTGGAAAAGGGAAACTGACCACGGAAATCAATTCAAACACAAAGGAAACACAATGTAAAACATAAATAATGTATCTATTTTTTTTGGCTCCTCAGCTTTTACATTTGAATATAAACATGTAGATGATTGTGGGATAATTAGTGCATCCCAACACAGTCCTGTTAACACGTGTTTTATCTACTTACCCACCCTGCAGCAGGTTCAAATCAAACCAACCTCTTTTTTGCAGGCTGGTCACGTGGTTGAAAACACGGGACACGTGAGCTCAACTTATAAAAGAGCATGATTTCATAAGTATCTTTTTTTTTTCTCTCTCTCTCCTTAATTCACACACACGCACACACTTAAACCCTTCAATGAAGATTAATTTTATTGTCTGTGTATCAGTGTTACCCTGTCTTCAGTGTCATCTCATTGTAAACCTTGATGTGAAAAGTCACTTTCCCCCTCTGATGTCTGAAAGTGTGCGCACACACACACACACACACACACACACACACACACACACACACACACACACACACACACACACCACCCACACACACACACACACACACACACACATGCACACCCACACACCACACACCCCTGGCACCATCCCATGCCCACAGTTAGTGGTGTCATGAAATAAATACTATGTGTGCTGCAGTAAGAAAGGAGCAGCCTGTCTGAACTCTGTCTCTTTGCATGAGGTTCAGTTTCATAACATCCTCAGTCGTGGCACCTCCTCACTTCTCTCTAAGAATAGAGACGGACGTTGGCTCCGTATTTAAATGAAGAAGAGCAGATATTCCCAAAGATGAGGTTAGAGTGCTTTAACGCTTATAGAGCTACAACATCTCTAAAATTAAACATAGGAGAAATCCATGAAACTTACCTACAGCGATTTATATAATGTGTCTTTAAAATTCATACTTTTGATTATGCGTTGTTATTTATCAGTTTTTATGTTGCTGTAATGCGTTATCAAACTTTATCTTCTCGAGGATTATATAGATTTTTTTTTTTTAAACTTGAGTGCAGTCTAGCATTCAAATATGAAAACATGAAAGATATTACAGTAAAGTCATTAGAACTGATAGTTGGTTCTTTAAAACAAATACAACAATTTTATAAAACATATTAGTGTCTCCAAAAATATTAAGCTTATTATAACATTTTAAATCATTTATATCACGATGGAAAAATATTCCTAGTAGATTTTTATTCTACTTTTGTGGTGGAGGACAGCTGACTGTTATGAGATGTGACAGAGAGGAGACACTGAGGCTCAAGAGCTCGCTCTAGTGGAGCAAATCAGTGCTGTGGTTGAACGTTAGTCTGACATGGAAAGACCGTAGCTTCAAAAGACCTTCCTCTCACTTGTTTTTAGTCCATGTTTTACTATTTGTATTGTACTGTATATTATGCCGTATTCGGTTTATTTCACTTCAAGTCAATTATTTGTAACCCAAGAATTGATTTTGTATACAAAGAACTGATTTATTTCTATGACCGCAGCATTTTTGCCACCAGATGACGGGAGGTCACAATCTTTAAAGTGACATTCATTTGGACACGTTTATATCTTGCATTGTAAAATTTGAAAATGATGTTACTTCGCTGAGAGAGCTCAAATACCGCAACTTAAGAACATCTTAATAGAGACAGGCTGCAAGTTGTATATACAAGTTAAAAATACTGCAGCAGTTTACTGTAGCCTACTATTGCACCTCCCTGAAGCTGGGATTTATGAGAGGCAGATTAAATATTAAATGGTCAAAATTGATGTGTCGGTGGCAGAGAAATCCTGACTTTTAGTTTCTAATAAGCACCACAAACACTGGATAATGAAAAGAGAGTAATGAGGAGAAGAGTAAAAATAAACATAGCTGTAAGTTATATCCAAGTTTGATACTGAATTTATTTTGTTTTTTGGTTTTGTTGTGTTGTGTTGTATGTTCTAAACCGATATCATCAAATGTTTTGTTTTGTCCGACCAACGGTCCAAAAGATAAAAGATATTCAACTTGCTGTAATACAAGAGAAAGAAAAGCAGAAAATCTCCACATTTCAGAAGGTGGAACCAACACATTTTCAGACATTTTTGTCAGAAAATAATAAATTATGAAAATAATTGCAGATTCAATTTGCTGTTGATCGACTAATTGATTAATCAACTAATCACTGCAGCTGTAGTTTATACCCACAATCTGACACATGTTTGATCTATGCCTTCACTTTATTTAGTACACACACAGCCAACATAAACCAACATTTTATGGTCCCATAAATTTGATTATTAAAGAAGTGTGACTAAGATATGCACTCAGTGAGCCATTTTATAGTTCAGTGCACTGTCACGGACAAACTGAGACACTATTTCCAAATGAACTCAGACTTATTTTTAACACTTCTTTCTTCATGTAGCAGGGGTCAGCAGTTAGGTTCAGCCACAGGCAAGTTTTTACTGCAGTTTTCAAAGGGGAGAGGAATTCATTTATTGAAAAATAACTGATTTATAATTGTATTTGTTTTAGGCTTATAACTGAGGACAGGTGTTATTGTTTTTAAGTCAGGGCTAATGGAGAGAAGGTCACTATGTTAATTCTCATTTACCAAAGAATGAATGTGAATGTACTGAATCTTCTATGTTCCTCCATGAGACCTGAGATCTAAATGGTCCACACAACATAAAAAAGTGGCCTCTTTTATGGCTGTATGAAAGATGTGTCCTTATACGTTCAAGAGGAACTACTATTACTGCCTCATGGTTGTTTGCCTCCGCTACTCAGACTAGTTTCACATTACATCCCCGTTTATCCAGAGTCATATAAAATATTAACCATTTGTGTCAAATTCTGTCATATTTGCCGTGTGAAGTCTTGAGTAATGGCTAAAAAGTGTTTTGAGAGGTCACACTGACCTTGACCTTTGACTTCCAAAATCGAATCATTTCATCCTTGAGTCCAAATGAATGTTTGTGCCAAATTTGAAAAAGTTGTCCACAAGAATGGGATGGATGTATGGACAACCTGTAAACAATATGCCTCTGGCGCTGGCTGTCACTGGTGTGGAGTCATACAAAAAAATGAATAAATCAATTGTGTTACCAATAAAAAGATGTTGGTGTTTTCTGTGCTTGATCTTACTAAACAAAAAACTTCATGAATGTTTAAAATGAATCAGATGGGAGCTGATAATAAAATAAAGATCTTTGATAGAACCTTGAAGTAGAACCCATGATGAGCACGTTCAGCAGTCACATTATCACCTGAGACACAATAATGTTCATCCTGGTTGGATCCTGCAGGAAAAGCCTTTGTTTGCCTTCAGCAACCTGACCCGCGTCCTGTCTCTGGTGAAAACAAACCCTCAACCGTTGCAAAACAACAACAACCTATATCCACAATCTACTGTATATCAACAATGTGAACTTCAGTAACTTAAACAGCAAAATCAGAAATATTCTACAGCTCTGAACCTACGCCACAGTTTCAAGTGGAGCCTCAGCTGTACGAAGAACGACGGCTCTGTATCTTAACTGAGCTGAAAAGAAACAAGATTTTCTCATTTGACCTGGAGAAACATTTCATTTTTCAGCGCTGTGCCTCCAGCCTACTTTCCCCCGGTTATGAATTCATATTCAACTGGATCAAAACATGTGATATACTATTGAGTTTTTTTGATCAAAGAGCATTTTATTGATGCTAACAACACAGCACAACAGAAGAGACCAAACTAATTCAAGATTTGTGACTAACAATCATCCTCAGTATCCTGACAGTGTGGAGATGGTTGGGTATCGTTTGCGGTGAGTCATGCACTTGTCTCTCTCGATGAACAGCGAGTGGGTTTTTCGGTTTATATCCTTCTCGAGGGCCATGCGCGACTCCTCCAGGTGGGACAGGGAGCCTCTGGCCTCGCTCAGCTGCTGCTGCAGAGACGCCAGAGTGGCGTCAATCTGCCTCACCTCCCCCTCCAAACTGCAGACACAGGCAGCGAAGAGGCGACGGAGAGACAGAAAGGAGATAGATTGTCAGGTTTGAGGTGAGCTGGACCCAAACGCAGACAATCATGAAGGCTGGAAGGTGGAGTGAAAATACTTTGATAGTGAAAACTGTCCACAACTAAAAGGCTCTTTCAAAAAAAAAAAATTCAGAGCTACATGGTGAGAGCAGCATGACATGCAGGGGACGCTTCATGAAGACACACAGAAACAAAACTGACAGCGACACAGACTTAAATACACAAGGAGGCAAAGGGTAATTGAACAGAGGTGAAACACATTAGGGCGAGGCAAGCAACCACACTGGAGTGAAACAGGACAAAGACAGGAAATGAAAATAACTTGAGAGACACAAAGGAAGTGATTACAAAATGAAATGAGAAAGTCCAAACAAAGAGTCAACAGAAATAGTCCTATCAGGGCAGACCATGACATAGATGTATTTGTGTTGTATGTGTGTTTGTGTGGGTGTGTGTGTGTGTGTCTGTGTGTGTGTGTGTGTGTGCGTGTGTGTGTGTGTGTGTGTGTGTGTGTGTGTGTGTGTGTGTGTGTCTGTGTGTGTGTGTGTGTGTGTGTGTGTGCACCTGAGCTGGGGTTCATCCCTGCAGAGCTCCATGTTGGGTCTGAGTGAGCGGAGGTAAAGTCTGGACTGAGCTACTCTCAGTGGAGCCTCTTTGTTGTGGATGGCCTGCCGTAGAGCCACAATGTTCCTCTCCTGGGTCCCAATCTGCTCCAGGACCTGCACATACACATGATCACGCAACAGACAGTCAATTCATCAACCAATCAATCACTCCATCTGTCTGTCTTTCTGTCTACCTGTGCAAGCCTCATCTCCAGCTGGGTCTTGGCCTCCACCAGCTCCACGCAGCGCTGGCTGAAGGCTCGGTCCACACTGGAGCACTGGGCTCTCAGATCCTCAGTGGTGTCCAGCAGCACTCGCTCCACCAGCGTTCTGACACACACAAACAGCAACAACAGTTACTGAAAACATGACATAATGTGTAACTTTCACACGTTCAACCACAGTGTGCTCTGACCTGAGACTGTTGCTGGCCTGTTCCTCCTGCAGAGCCTTGCTCAGGTTGTCCCGTGTGAACTTTGCCCACGATGTGTGGTTACACACCCTGCAGCAGACCACAGGGGTAGACAGTGTGTTCAGTATAAAGGTTATCGGCACAGTTCCACTTTTTCAGTGGTGAATTTATTTCAAGTATCCTCGCACACAGACTCACTGGTCGTGCATGGTGGCTGAGCTGGGGTGGAGCTGTGTATCTGGACTCATGTTGCTGTATCTGCCGCAGTGCTCGTCAAAGTTGTAGGCCTGGTACTTATCAGACCAGTCCAACTCTAATGTCTGCTTGGACTCTCTGTTCATCCTGACAAACACACACACACACACACACACACACACACACACACACACACACACACACACACACACACACACACACACACACATTATGCAAAGGATGATAATGCTTCTCTCAAACCATAGAAGACATTTCATAAGTGTGGTACACTTCAGGCAGTTTAATTTCCTGTTTACAGGACTGGAGACTCACTTGATCTGAGTGACGACCTGAGCTGTAGTTCTCTTCAGAAGAGCCTGGACGCTCCTGATCAAGTCCACCTCCTACAAAACACACACTCTGGCTTCTGGTTAGTGTCACACTGAGCCCTCTGCTGGTGCTGACCTACTGTTACACTGAGTATTAGACACGTGATCCCATGAATGTTACTGCAATATCATTACTGAAATCTAGTCTTACAGGGCTGCATCTAATGATTGATAATCATTTCACTATTGATTGATCTGATTAATATTTTCTCAATTATTAAAATCTGGTCAATAAAAACATCAGAAAAAAGTGAACAATGTTCATTCACTGTCATGTGAGATGCGGAAAAGCATCAAATTCTTACATTTTAGAAGCTGCAACCATCCAGTGTTTGCCTGAACTGATTTTAAAAATAGTTACACATTAATTTTGTGTTGATTGACTAACTGATGATCATGATAGCTTTATTATTTTAATGGTCCATAGTCCATGAATATTGTTTTTGTGTACTTAATTTAATTGGGTCTGGGATTTACCGTTGGCCTATATTTGTCCTGTTCATGAGGCTATTGATTGTACACAGAATATTCTTTATTTAAGACACTGATGTAGACCACTATTATCTTAACTTTTTGATTACATATTCATGTTTATTTTATTGCCATGCACAGACAGTGATCCTTAGTGCTGCCCAGGACACAAAGCTTCACTAGGCTCGCACCTTACTATACTAACATTTACTATATCACCTTTAGCAGCTCCTCCTCCACGGAGTCACGGACCAGGTCTGGTCCTGGTCTTCTCGCCCTGCAGTTCAGATTATCGGTGGCGATGGCATACGGAGTCTCGGTGGCGTCCAGCGCCTTCTCCAGCCGCGTCTTCAGCGCCAGCAGTGAGTCGGTGTCGGCCAGCAGCTGCTCGATGTGCCGCTGCAGCTCTGACTTCCAGCAGTGGATGTCTTGTAGTCTCTCTCCCAGAAGACGCGTTCCCTCGGCCTGTGTCTGCAAAGTGGCTGCCTCGGTGTCCTGGTACAGAGTTTTAGACTCTCGCTGGATGCTCCGGGCTTCGTAGCGGTCGGAACCGGCCTGTTGGAGGATGGTGTGGTAGTTGGAGAACCACTCGGCTGGTGCGTACTTAGCGGAGCGGTACCCCGCGGTGGCTGAGCCTGAGGACGGCTGCGGGACCTCCGGAGGAGGATTCTTCTCCGGGACCCCCAAAGCCACAGCTCTGCTGTCATAGTGTGGCCGTGACACTAAAACGTCAGAGCTCATGTTTTTGTTAAACAGATTCAGATCTAAAGAAAAAGAAGCATCAGAGGTGCTCAGGTCTCACAGTCATGGAGCTGCTGTATGTTTGTTTGGTGTTGCTTGGTTACTCATGTTGGCAGGATCAGCTCCAGCAGCAGCTTGACTCAGGTGACTGATTATCTAATGAGCTGATGCAGATTAAAAGACAATTCTAGTCATTACACACATGTAACATACACAACAGAACATATCATAATGAAATCATCAGTATTAAAAACGACAACTCAAAATAGATCTACACAAAAAGAAGTGCAGCTGTTGTATTTGGTGCACAGCATGTGTGTTTGTGGCTGTAACCGTGTTTACACTCACAAGAAGATTCAAGAAAGTGTGATATCTAAGCACATATTAACTGTGTGTGATGGTCTGCATTATTGCCACTTAGCAGCCACAGGGAATCAAACGTCAAATTTGCTGACAGACGGTTGAACTGTAGAGATACATTCAGTCCAATACAATAGCAAATACAGCAGAACTGTGCTTGGACAGCTCAAGACCTAAGAGTGATCGTTCCAGCGTTTGAGGGGGCAGGAGATATGACACAGATAAACTGTTGAACATCACTGTTGAAGAAATGAATAAGTGTTTTATGATGTGACAGTGGTAAAGGTTCGTCTTAAACACAGGCCACTGCTAACGACAGGAAGGGGAACCTGTGTCTGTATAAACTTGGTTTGACACATTTCCTCTTTATATGCTTTTTTGTTTCTTGACTTGAGCTTCTGACACCTACAATGAATACAGGACCTATAATGCCATGATCTGGTTGCCGGAGAAACAAAAGAGGGATTTCAAACTAGATTTGTATTTCAGGTCGCCTGAGAATCAGCGGCAGCAAAAGAAACGGTGTGATAATCTGAAGCTGATGAAGATGCTGGTCTGAAAAAGGCATGTTCACGCAGATTGTGAGGCGTATAGTTCTCAGTGTCAAACACACTGCTGTTTGTGGTATTGTCATCTCACTCTTTCTCACATGTGCATAAAGTTGTTTCCACCTACATCAGCTGTACTTTCTGTTTCCTCACAGTAATGTGAAGATGTGGAGCCTCAGATTAAATAAACATAATGATCTTTTTTTCTCTTTTTAATCAAAGTACAAAGGGTCTTTGCCAGATTAGTTTATCTTGCTAATGCCCTATCATGTATTTCTCTTCTCCTTGTTGTACCTCTGCGTTGTTGTTGCAGTCAGTTAGTCAGTTGTTATGTAATGATGATGAGGCTGCTGCTGATAAGACAGATATTTGAATTTTAAATCATTTTTGACGATTTGGGAAATAGAGTAAAACTATTTTTGGATGTTATTGTCTTAGAGCCACCAGTGATCTGCCTTCATGTAAATGTCACCACAGCCGTTTCCAGGAAGTAGCCCAGTCAGTCAGTAGTGTGACATGGAGTGCTCTGCTGTGGCCTGACTGAGAAAAGCTCAGCAAAAGCAATGACATGCATAAAGCTGAGCATGCAAGTTGAGCATACAATACAACATGTGTGAAACTGTCTAGGCTTTATAGTGGACTCTGCTACACATCTATATATCTATATGAAATACCCTAGTACGGACACTTGACAACATAGTTGTCTACATTAACACTAAACTTACTGTCAATTGATGTCATCAAAAGACAAGACTACTGACAAGTACAGTATTGTCTGTTTATCCAATGCCTGATTAAACTTATTTCCCAGTGCCATTAACCATCATTGTTATCCAAACAACCATGTAGCTTGTTGGTCCCTCTGATACAACCCAAAGAGTGCTTCCTGAATTAGCGCCCCTGGTGGCAGGAGATATGCCACAGATAAACTGTTGAACATCACTGTTGAAAAAATAAATAACTGTTTTATGATGTGACGGTGCTAGGGTGAAGATTTGGTTATAGGCAAAAAAACAACAACACAGTCACGCTGAGGGAAACATTATAGTTTGGGTTAAAATAACTTACAGAGTTAAGGTTAGAGGAACTTTGTTGCCACAGTTACAATAATAAACACATGGTTAAAGTTATGAAACAGTCCGAGGACTTTGTCTCCTTAATATAAACGTTGTTTTTGGGGCTTTTGCCAAAAAGACTGATGCTGTCTCAAACAGCCGCTATGTGATGCTTAACATTAAAATGTAACTATGGTGATAAGCTGCTTGAACACACGACAGTCTCATCAAAACACACCAGTGAGTCACATGTAAATGTACACAAGCACACCAAATGTGTATTAATCCACAGCTGAAAATACTGCACTACTTGAGTCTGTTCCCTAGCCCACAGTCCCACTGCGCTGCTTCATTTCTCTTTTGTATTTCTCTTAATCAAGTGTTTCGATGTGATGGCCACAACAATGTGCTGATGACGTTTCCATCACACCAATACTGATGAGATGTTTCAATGACGACTATGAAAACTCTGATGGTGTTTCTCATGGTTTTGTTTATTTTGTTCACAATTATATTCTTAACTTAAATTTGGGTTATTTTCTCCCCTTTTTCTCACAAGGAGTGATATATTAAGCAATGCATTTATATATATAATTATATATATTAATAATATTGAATATATATATATATATTTAATTAATATATATATTATATAAATATCATTAGTAATACTATTAATTATAATAAAGCAACTAAACAATCATAAGGAATGTAGATTCTGTTTAAACACAGTTCAGCTGTCGCAACTGGTGTCAGTGTGGTTGTGCCAGACGTCCTCTGGCTTGGTGAAGTTTTGGTACACAGTCTGCTGGTCTTCACCTGGATTGTCATCGTGATGCAGCACACTCTGTGGCCTAATGGAGCCCATGTCTGCATCTTCTTCCATGTTATAAATCTCAAATAAAAAAATAGAATTAAAACATAAATAAATGAAGAGGAACAGTCACATAGAGGAGAATGGTGGTCCATCAGAAGCATCAGTTAGGTGACACATTTGGCTACAGACTAATTGCACAACCTGGACAGTTTCATTATTATACATATTGTAGCCTCTGGAGGCAACAACAACGGTTTGGACCTGTAGTCATGTTAACTTACAATATTATCCACAATAATTTCTTCGTTGGACCTGTTAATGCTCATGATGACTCTAACTCCTGAAACAACATTGAAAAACAAAGGAAATCATGGCTTATTTTTGCGTATATATATGTGTGTGTGTGTGTGTGTGTGTGTGTGTGTGTGCATGCGAAACATACCATGCACTTTGTTGCATTTGTCTTTACAAACCCTGGCAAGGAAAAATGTCAGGATCAACAACAGTCCAACCAGAACAGCTGGCAGAATGTAAACCAAAATTGAAAAGTGAGCAGCATCTGAAAAAAGAAAAAGCAGAACAAAGTAAAAATACATCTTTCTTAGAAACACACACTGGCAGAGGAATACTCACACATCTATTCTCTAAAGCACACAGCAGCAGATGTACAGTAAGTCACCCCAAACATGCAAACTGTATTCTTGCAGCATTTGGTGGTTTCATGTTCCTCTTTTATTAATGGTTTGTAAGGTTTGTCTTTACCCTGGTGTTGGTCAACTGCACACACACACACACACACACACACACACAGCACACACACACACACACACACCACACACACACACACACACACACACACACACACACACACACACACACACACACAACACACACAAACCACACACACCACACAAACACACGCAACACACACACACACACGCATACACAAACACACACAAACAACACACAACACACAACACACACACCACACACACACACACACACACACACAACACAACACACACACACACACACACACACGCACACAAACACAACACACGACGACCAACAACAAACACACAAACGCCATACCCAAAACTACACACACACACACACACACACACACACACCTTCGACAGGATTTGTTGAGATATATGTTGACTGTGATGTCACAGGCTCCGTGGTGATAATAGAGATCGCGGTGCTTGTCGTCTGTGGAGAAACTGTTGGAGACTGTCAGACACCGATTGATTATCGCAGCTAGAAATCATCAACTAAATAACAAGAAAATCATCCTGTGTTGTAGTTTAGCTTCTGAATGGGGAGTGAAACTATCTATGTATGATGATCAGCAAAGTTTGAATTGCTACAGGGTGTCTGCATGGTTCTGCCATACTCATAATCATGTTATTTCTGCTTGACTGACTTCTTCCCATGATGCCGCTCAGGCTGACTTCACACAGCACCACTCTGTCTGACAGAGTATAAAATGATTTAAGTCCCTAATAACACTGCAACCCTGCATTTCATATTTGTTTTATATTTTATATTTTTTAAGTGTAAAATGTAAAAGATCACCACGACATAATGAGGCTGATCTGTGACCTCTCACCTTTGACTTCCAGCTTAACAGCAGAGAAAACATCCAGGCCATTGTTTCTCTCGACACCACAAAGGAACCACCCAGAATCCTTTTGGGTCAAACTGGTGATGTTCACTGTGAATTTCCCAGACTCCTCGTCACCAGTAAGTGTGAACTTTCCATTGAGTTTTCTGTTAGAGGTGACCACTGCCTGCTGCAGACATATGGAGGGCTGCCTTCCTCTGCAGATGTACTTCAGGTTCTTCTGGTACTTAGAGTCATATGGACAAAGGATGGACACTGAACCTTCCTCATGACTGTGGACTTCGGTGAACTGATCACAGCAGCTGTCTGTCAGTGAGGGAAACTAAATCAGCCACACAACAACCACTACAGCAGAACGTGAAAATCAATCATCAATCATGAAATGTGTTAGGCTACTGTAGAAGTATACAGTAAAAAAAAAAAAAAAAGATCTCAAATAAAGTACATGTACCTGAAAACCTGAAAACTGATTTACTTAGTTGGGAGGAGGAAGTAAACAAAATGGTCTTGATAACCATAATGAAATAATGAATTTACTTGTTTACCTGGCACTACGTCCAGTCTTACTTCAGCAGGGTAGTAATCCAGTCCACTTCTGGTCACCCCACACCAGTATTTCCCAGCATCCACAGAGCTCAGATCAGAGATGGTCGTTGTGAGGACTCGTTTGCTTTTGTCATCAGAGATGGAGTATTTGTTCTTGTTCGCTTGTGTAGTCATAATAAGAACATCACCATTGCCACAGTCATTCCTGCAGAGGTATTTCTCATGAGACTCGTAACCCTCTCCATAGGGGCAGGAAACATTAACATCTCTCCCTTCATATCCAGACACATGGATCACTGGTACTGCACCGCTCACACAGCTCAGAGCTACTGCAAAGAGAAGAAGACATGAAAGAGAAAAAACACCAAGAAACAAGGATTCATTCTTTATAATGTTTTAAAATCTCACATTGACACTGAACAGAGATGCACATTTCATTCTCTCCGTTCTGTATTTCATTATTTTTTTATTTTGTCACATAGACATTAATGCTGACTGTGTTAAAGAAATTGATCATCACAACATCACCAGGACAAAGTGATCCAATAGAAGCTACTTACTGCAGAGGATGAACAGCAGGTTGCGAAGGATCCACATCTTCACATTACACAAGAAAACAGAAACTAAGACGGACGTAGCTGTAAACCATGCTACATGCTGTGTGAACAAGGGAAACACTTTGAGGAAAGTGTTCATAATGTTACCAACATCTCATGGTTAAATGTTCCACCCCTACCATGTGTCAGCAAAACTTCAGTTCCACATTTGTGTCAACAGAATTTGATCAACAAATCAACACATTTATCAACCAGTTATCATTTTCTTTCTGTGGCAAAAAAACAGCAATGAGGTGTTTATATGTTGTGCATATGGTTGTATGATTTTTATATGATCCACTTCACAGTCTTTATAAAGTGCAATAAAAGAAAATGTTAATCAAAATACATTGTAAGATGCCAGAGAATCAAAAGCTTCTGAGCTTTGAGACTTTTATTCAAGTTTGTGACTTGTTTATCAAATTGTAAATGACTTGTCCCGTCCTCCATGATGTGACTTTGGTCACTTCCATCTGGAGAGTGCTCTAAAGTCCTCAGGAACCTATCTTCAGTAACAGAATGTACTGAATCCTCATCACGCTACATTTGGGCCATCAGCTTCTCTGTGAAAGCCACAACCCAAAAAACCCTAAAACACCTTGACTACAGACACTGTGACAAAGGTAGAAACATCATTTCCAAATCCTTTTGTGCTGCTTTCTCTCTCTCTGTGAGGATCACATAAATCTATAGCATGTATACTGCACATTCAGTTCAAATCATGGTTGATCAGACCTGATGGCCACTAACAATGTGCTGTTATTCTTGTATGTATTTTTATATAATACAAACACTTGTTTTAATCAACAGTTTTTGTTTATTTATTCAACTTTACAAAAGCTACATTAATTCTGCTTTAGCTCATTGTGTACATTGAGTTGATACAGTTATCCACAAACATGTTATTACGCTGAAGGGAAATGTAAAAGCTGCAGAGTAAAAATAAGAGCAAAAGCAATCAACGTGTGGTGAAGCACCATAATCGTAGAGCCCTTCATAGCTTCTGGCCAGACATTAAACAGGTTGCACTGTGTCAGGCCGAGACTCGAAGCAGGACTCAGATGCAGAGATATTGAATAACAAAAGGCTTTTATTGAATTCACCGGAGAACTCAGACAGAGTGACAAACAAATGGCTATAAAAACCTAGACACTAACTCTGAAAACTGAGAAACAAAAAACTCTCCAGGAGGAGGAAAAAACTCTAATCAAAAGAAACAAATCGAGAAACACAAAACGCTCCGAATGGAGGAAAACCGAAGGACTATGAATCTAATCTATGGAAGAACAAACAAACAAAAAATCACTCTTAAAGAGGAAAAATCAAAAGGACTAGAAATCTAAACTATGGAAATAATTAACAAACAAAAAATCACTCGTTAACGAGGAAAAACAAAGGGCTATGAACTTTAGCTATTGGAAAATTTACAAACAAAAAATCACTCGTCACGAGGAACATACGGCTTACTATGGCGATGGCTGTGGACATGGATCAAGGCTCTGGTGCAGGACAAGGACGAAGACACTCTGGCACAAGACAAGGGGAACACAGACTATTTAAACACATGGAGGGAAATAGGGAACAGGTGGAAACACTTAGGGCAATCAGACTGAGACACATGAGGAAGGGCAAGTGACCTGAAACGAGAGGAGAATTACTTTTCAAAATAAACCAGGAAATGACAGGACAAAACAAACCCAAGACAAGACAACCTCACCACGGCGCGACACACTGCAGTTACACGTGATTATTTATATCTTATTTCTTAATATTGTTGATATAAACAGGATGATTTGAAGACAATAATTTGGGGAGAAATGTCACCCCAAAATACAAGTTTTGACTACAGCCATGCATACTGGTCAGGTCCTGTATTCACTGTTGTATTGACAGACAGAGTAGATGTCTTCTGTCACACTGAGGCTTTGGTACACACTAGTTTGATCTTCAGCTGCTTTATCATCTGTGTGACAGGCGCTCTGCTGCTTTGAGCCACAGACATCTTCTGGATTTTCATATATCTAAAAAAAAAGAATAACACATGATTAGATGATCAGGCAGTGCTACACAGAGGAGCTCTGTATGCTGCACTTCTCTCTCTAATATCTAAATATTAAAAATTATAAACACTGGACTGTGGGTTTCTTGATTTGTGTTTGATCCAGAAGTTGATATCCGCACATCTACGATCCAGACTGGCATGAAAGTTTGCATGAAATAGGAAAGTGTTGTAGTCCCACTGACTTTTCATTTAGCATCAGGTGAAAAATTTTAATTGCGTCTCAGACAAATCAAAATCTACAGGTAGAAATTTACTGAGCGCATTAATGTTTCCATGAGGATGAATGTTTTCCGTTTCAGACAGACATTATCAGGTCTGTTGACCTGTAGCTCTCCTGTAATCTAACAGACAATGAAAACTTTCAGGGCACATTCACAGTTTTGAGGTTTTACAGATAAGAACCTTTGTAATTTTACATAATGTGATGCCATCGTTTTCTCACAGTGATCTTTCCATATTGTAACGAGTTGTGGCCACTTTGAAGTCTGTGGAAAAGCAGATGAATCAGTTTGTTGTGACTTTTGTTTTAGTCATGTTTTCTTACATTATCCACGCCCCTCATTTCTTCTGCTTCAGCCATCTCTGGTATGTTTCTGTTCATGCTGACGTCAGGTCCTGGAGACACACAGGCACACAGCACAACACACTGAGTCACAGCCATGTGTGAACCAACGTGTGTGTTTGTGCGTGTTGTGTTGTAATGTATACCTTTTGCTTTGCATTTGTAAACTATGACCACGGAAAATGTCAGTATCACGATCAGCAGCACAGCAGGCACGATGTAAACCACCATGTTAATGGGTGTAACATCTGAAAAGACACAGAACAGAGTGAAACTCACACACACACACACACACACACCCACACACACACGCACACACACACACACACACACACCCACACACACACGCACACACACACACACACACACACCCACACACACACGCACACACACACACACACACACACCCACACACACACGCACACACACACACACACACACACCCACACACACACGCACACACACACACACACACACACAGCTTCGACAGGATTTGTTGAGATATATGTTGACTGTGATGTGACAGGCTCCGTGGTGATAATAGAGATTGCGGTGCTTGTCGTCTGTGGAGAAACTGGCAGAAATAATGATTCTTAGGATTTTTTTCACTGCAACATGACAAAGTTGATCTGTGACCTCTCACCTTTGACTTCCAGCTTAACAGCAGAGAAAACATCCAGGCCATTGTTTCTCTCGACACCACAAAGGAACCACCCAGAATCCATTTGGGTCAAACTGGTGATGTTCACTGTGAATTTCCCAGACTCCTCGTCACCAGTAAGTGTGAACTTTCCATTGAGTTTTCTGTTAGAGGTGACCACTGCCTGCTGCAGACATATGGAGGGCTGCCTTCCTCTGCAGATGTACTTCAGGTTGTTCTGGTACTTAGAGTCATATGGACAAGGGATGGACACTGAACCTTCCTCATGACTGTGGACTTCGGTGAACTGATCACAGCAGCTGTCTGTCAGTGAGGGAAACTAAATCAGCCACACAACAACCACTACAGCAGAACGTGAAAATCAATCATCAAATGACATGAATAAGGTTTTATATTCAGCTCATTGTTTGATGTTTTCTGGTTCCTCCACATAATAAATAAGCAGTAATAATTAAATAAGTACAGTCAGTTTACAGTAAAACATTCAGGTGATCCTGTTCTATTTTCTTCAGTCAAAAGCCACCTCTAATAATCATTGTCTTCACAAACTATTTATTTTTATTTTGTTTGTTTGTTTACCTGGCACTACGTCCAGTCTTACTTCAGCAGGGTAGTGATCCAGTCCAAATATGGTCACCCCACACCAGTATTTCCCAGCATCCACAGAGCTCAGATCAGAGATGGTCGTTGTGAGGACTTGTTTGTTTTTGTTGTCAGAGATGGAGTATTTGTTCTTGTTCGCTTGTGGAGTCCCAATAAGAACATCACTATTGCCACAGTCATTCCTGCAGAAGTATTTCTCATCAGTCTGATAACGAGCTTCATAGGGGCAGGAAACATTAACATCTCTCCCTTCATATCCAGACACATGGATCACTGGTGCTGCACCGCTCACACAGCTCAGAGCTACTGCAAAGAGAAGAAGACATGAAATAAATAAAAAAAACACTGCTGGAAACACATCTTCATCCACTGTAACTTGTAGTTGTTTTCAGTTACAGTAAACTGCAGGTCACAGATGTGTGTATTTACTGTAACACAGAACACATCTGTTGTAATGTCTTCATTCATGATCATTGTCACTCTTTAAGTTTAATTTACAAGACAAATTGACAGATATACAGTACATTTGTTGTTTTGTACAGTGTGTGACATTTTTCCTTCTTTTCGCATCTTAAACTGATCATAATAAAAAACAAAGAACTTACTGCAGAGGATGGACAGCAGGGTTTGAAGGCTCCACATCGTCATATTACTGCAAAGAAACAGACACTGCAGCTGATGTGGTTTTAAATAATTCATGCTACTGTGTGAATGTGGGAACAGATTGTTCACACGAACAACAGTGTATATAAAATGTTACAGTTTTTTTTCCGATTGCTAACATGCATTGGTCAAAACTGAAGTCACATTGTCAAAACTCTTCACAGTCAGTGAAACAGAAATCTATGTGGACCAAACTGTGAATCATTTTTCATTGCTTTCACACAAAATGCATTCGATGACCACATCTTCCAAAATCCATGAACTATTTTCTCGTTCATACTCCACCACCAGCTAAACACTATATCTTTGCAGGGCATTTTTCAAATGCTAACGCACTGTTTTCAAAACTGTTAAAAAAAACATGCAAAACAGAATGATGGGCAATTTCATGCATTTCTGCAGTAACCATATTGAAATATATAGAAAATCTGAGAAGAATATTTAGAATAAAGTGAAAATGATAATCATTCCAAACACAGCTGATTGCAAGTTTAATTTGAAGCAGAAACAGTGAATGTGTGAAAGAACTCTGGTATCGATATGTCCAGGAAAGATGTCTGTTCAATAACCAAACAGGGTACATACACAGTTATGCATATACTGTAAAACAGTGGATTTACTGTATTTTATAGAGTAATGGAAATGGAGACCAGGCAAACTGCACATACATTCATCTTTGTGGATGAAGCTGGATTCAACCAGGAAAAAACTCGAACCCTCACAGTACTGTATAGTATGAGTTATTACACTATACATCTTGATGATTTTTTTTTTTTGTAGTTATTATTGCAGCCCTGGAATTTAAGGAATTAGTTCTTTTTGTGTTTCTAAATTACTAAATGCGAGGATACAGAAAATAAAGGACATTGAAGCAAATTTCTGCATTTCTGATTTATATACTTTAGTACAGTCAATAAAGTGAAAAGGTGTTCTTATTCTATAATGAAATACTGATTTATGTGAAATCTGATTAAAACATCAAAAGTGAAAGTTAATAGTTTATGTGATGCTCCCTTTTGCTCGTGTTTTTTTGAGTCAGTGTGTTATGGGTGACAGTGGATGCTTCCTGAGCGAGAATTGTTGTCAGCGTTATGGTTGAACAAGCTTATTTTGAGACATGTATGAAGTGTTCTGGTGGTTTGAGTGAGTTTTCGAAGTGAGATTAACTGTTTGGCCAAGATGCTTTTTGGTAATGCAGACTGCATGAAGCGTTTTGAAAAAGTGGCTTCAGTCATGACCAGTGCTTGTTAGCAATTGAAAAAAACTGTAAGAATGTCAATGCGTGCTAATTAAAACACCTACGTGATGTGTCAGAAAATGCTGGATATGTTGAAGTCTCTCTGAGAGAACATCAGACTGACTGAATGACTGAATCATTTCATATGATTTCTTCATATAAAGATATATTTTAAATATTTTAGAGCTTGTATTTCATGTGTTGTTTCCTTTGGTAGATTTTTATAAAGTGAGAGAGTTAATACAGTCTTCAGTAACTTGTGTAACTCACTGTTGAAATATGTTTTAAACATTGGACAACAATAGTTTCAAAACTCTAAAAAGAGGAACAGTGTGTGTGAGCCATCATGTCATTGACACTGGATATCCAAAGGGTTAATGACCACAGAGGAAACTGAAATCTAACTACTTCCAAGAAGTATCCTCTAAATAACAATTACCATTTGGTCTTATGTGTATGTGCCTGCACAATCAGTGAACAAAAAATATCCAAAAAGTTTTTAAATGAATGCACAGGGAGTCCATTTTGGACTCATTCATACTTAATAATGATTCTTCTGTCTGTAGGATCATACAGTGTCATTCTGAATTTAGTGTAATGTTAAAAGATCACCAGCAGAGGTCCAACTGTGTGTTTTGAACGAAGTGGACCGCTACATTTTCAGAAAACTGTGGTTGCGTGTGTGCATGTGTGCGTGTGTGTGCATGCGTGTGTGTGCGTGCATGTGTGTGTGCGTGTGTGTGTGTGTGTGCGTGCATGCGTGTGTGTGCGTGTGTTTGTTTTTATGTCCCATTTATAGAGTGAACAAAAAACAGTATCTATGAATTGTTTTAATGATGATTATGATTCATAAAGACATGGTTTTGTTTATTTATTCACTTTTACCAAAGGCACATACATGTAGGTAACTTATATTTGGGGTATTTAGCTGAAATTGCCATTCTCAATTTCTTACAAGGAGTGCAGGTATGTTAAACTATTTGTTATGCTAACAGTCAGCAATCAGGATGAGAGTAATGGTGAAAACAAAAGTGTCAAATCAATGAAAGCAATTAATATGCAGGTTCTGAATATGTCTGATGGTAATTAAAAAAACAATCTGGACATATAAGCTGTCAGAGGGCAGTGTGACTATATGTTGGAAAGTTGTAAATGTTAAAGAAAAACAAACAGGGTAACTTGTGTACAAATGCAGCACAACATTTCAAGGTTATCTTTTATCTCTTATTGCCTTTACTGAGAAATTCATTACAGTAGATGTCTTCTGTTGTGGTGTAGTTTTGATACACAGAGTCTTGTTGGTCTTCTGTGTCATCATAGTGGCGATAGTTGCTCTGCTGTTTGGAGGTCGACACCTTTGAGCACACCATGACTTCCTCATTTGCATAAATCTAAAAAAGAGCCAACAGACAACGAACATATGAGAGGACGACTTTACTCATTAAATCACTATTCATATTTTTTGAAGAAAAGAATCAGTAATTAAACGTTTCCCTTTTCGAGAGTCTAAAAATGTCATAATTATCACTTATCCATAAATGTTTCAATTAACAACCACCACAACATCAACCATGAAATTTCATGTATATGTTTGTGCAACCAGACAAACTATCATGTTTTGTTGACCCCCCCTGACCTTTCATCAGGCAAATATGTCCACATGTGCCTGATTAAAATCCAAATCTAAAGGATACATTCAAGAGGATAAACCTCTTCAGTTTTGAGTTTTTCTCAGCTCACCCCACTGAGCTCATTAATCTAACAGATACACAAAGAGGCAGACTGCAGTTACATTTGCTGAGCACATTCATAGTTTCAAGGGTATAAACCCTTTTGATTTTGATGATCCCACAGTCTTTCCGGTTGTACCGCCCTAAAAACACCCACTTATTTAGCCCCATGAATAGTGACATCATCAGTGAGTAGTTCTGCCCAACACATTTATAATGTGGATTGTAAAGAACAACAAGGCTTTGGACTTTTGCTTTCTTACATCTTCACCGATCACTTCCTCTACGTCTGCCTGCTTGATTACGTTTTGGTTCACGTTGACTCCAGCTCCTGGAAACACACAACCCAAGAAAAGGTTAGGCTACACAATTAGTTTGCATGTATTTGTATGTTTGTTTGCTTGTGGGTGCACAGTTCTGTGCATGTGTTTGTATGTAAAACTTACCTTTCACTTTGTAACATTTGTATTTACAAAGTAGGACCAGGGCAAGTATCAATATGAGCAGCAGTACAGTGGGCACAATGAAAACCACGGGGTGTAAGAGTGAAGTCACTAAAAAAACACACACAGAGAACAGAATAGAACACACGCCTTCTGAAAACACACATCGGCAGCACAACCCTTGATCTGTTATCACAATCTTAAGTGCAGCAGAAATAGCAACACACATCGTAGCTGTTGCCTCACAGCAATTGATGCTTTCATGTTCCCTTTTTTTTAATAATAGCATTGCATGTTCTGACACACACACACACACACACACACACACACAGACTATTGGTCATTTAGGAGGATATTTCCTTTCCTTACATTCACTCCCTGAAGACTTACCCAAACGGTAACCATAACAACTACATCAACCATAACTTTAACCAAACCAAGTGTTAAGCTTAACATTGTTTACATTGTGGGGAATATGCCATGGTCACAATTACCAGCTGCGACAGCATGACTGGTATTAATTTCACCTTGCGAATCTGTGTGTGTGTTTGTGTGTGTGTGTGTGTGTGTGTGACTCCCTGAAGACTTACCCAAACGGTAACCATAACAACTACATCAACCATAACTTTAACCAAACCAAGTGTTAAGCTTAACATTGTTTACATTGTGGGGAATATGCCATGGTCACAATTACCAGCTGCGACAGCATGACTGGTATTAATTTCACCTTGCGAATCTGTGTGTGTGTTTGTGTGTGTGTGTGTGTGTGTGTGTGTGTGTGTGTGTGTGTGGGGGTGTGGG